TATGGATGGGAAAAGCAAAACCCAGAACATCCACTCCCTATGGATGGGAAAAGCAAAACCCAGAACATCCACTCCCTATGGATGGGAAAAGCAAAACCCAGAACATCCACTCCCTGTGGATGGGAAAAGCAAAACCCAGAACATCCACTCCCTGTGGATGGACTGGAAGCACTTCCGGGCCTGGAAGGTGGCCACCTCTCGCAGCTTCGAGGTCGCTTGCCCCACCAGCGAGTTCAAGGAGCCGCGGCCCGCCACGCTGCCGCCTCGGTGCCACGTGCCACCCGGAGGATGCCTGGGAAAGCACCGGGCTTGCCCGGGAGTCTTGGGAACAACCAAGCCCCCTTTTCTGGATGAGCCAAACAGTATACCACCACTTATATGCTGTATATGAGTATATGTGTTTTCTCCTTTGCAACTTGATGGGATTCATCCCAAGTCGATGGGTAAAAAAACAGAATCAAGCCTCAATAGTACTAGTACCACTGATATCCACATGGTCTCACGTCCAGGCAGCTGTTCACTGATGGTCGAATCGAGGATGGTTGCATCGAGGGTGTGGCATTGGCATTTTCACCAGACCCGAAGCTCACGCTGTACCGCGCGGGCCGTGCCTTAGTCGTTGCTTTCGGAACATCCAAAAAGGCACTCTGTGCTTGCGAGCCCCATGCCATGGAAACCCGGTGATGACATCCAAAGGATGCCACTCCAGGGGCCATCTAAACCCCTTCTTTGAGAGCATGTTGAAGTTGTACAACTGATTTTCAACCTGGCAACTGCTTGGCAAGGTTGCACTAGGTGCTTGCAACCCGGCGTTCATAACCAATTGCATTGGACTGTTCACTGCAGCTTACCACCAATTCCAATAGCTCTCTCCTTCAGCATCCAAAGACCCTGCTCACAAGGAAAACACACTGGATCACACCGGCATGAATTCATCAAAGGCAGCTTGATGAACAAATAATATGACATTCTATATACTATACTATACGCCTTGGCGTCGTGTAGTGGAACCTATCTAGTTTTCTGGTTCGCACATGAATTAAAAAAATCAGAACTGTGTGACGTCCAAGCAGAAGCGACGTCCGAGGTGCTGCGGTGCTTGTGCCACTGAGCGAGTTCGAGGAGCCGAGGGAACCCAGGGAATTGCGGCCGCTGGGGTTATTCTGGTTCTGCATGATGCTCTGGAGCAAAAGCTGCCTCATGCAGAACACACATGTTCTGCCACCTACTGCGACCATCACTTCCCACGGAATCCTTTCTCAGATCGACTTGGACCCCCCTTCAGGGCTGAGTGGGGCCAATCCCAGCAAGTTCTCCAAGGCCTCCAACACCGGCCGCCTGAGGGCCTTCTTGGACCAAAACAGGTCGAATTCTGAAGAACGCTCAAGCCAATTGGCCCAAAATAGAAGCTGACCAATTCTCACCTCTACTCCTGGAAGAGGCCCAAAAACATGGAAAACCATCGGCGGCTCAGCGTAGGGCGAGCTGGTCAGAACCAAAGGCTTAAGAAACCAATCCGCCATAACAAAACAACAAGAATCTTAGGGTACCTTGGGACCTTCACATGGTGGGACGGTCCGTCCAACTCCTTGCAGTGATCCCCGGTCAACAGTTTCAAGTCCAGGAAGTGTTTTGTTGCCTGACCGTGCCCGACCCGAATCTGGTCATTTCGGCTAGTTTCTGTGTCCCAAACACACCCACAACAAAAATGAGGTCATTTTGGACACCCTCGCTGTTCCATTGTTTCACTTCACCCCAACATAAGCAAAAGCAATCACCCCAAAGCTTTGCTGGGGTCTATAGAATCAATGGGCTGTACAGGTGCTGATCTTGCGCATGGCATCACATGATTCTCTAAAGCTGTGCAGCTGCTGCACATGGTGGAACCAAGCCGCTGGGTCTGAAACTTATCCTCGATCAACGTTTGCAACTCTTGAAGTTGCTCACGCACACCTCGAAGCCAGGCCCCCTTGTGCTGGCCCCCATGCCCTCTCGAGAGGGTCAGTAGGTCTTCCCAGGCCACAGCGGTCAGTTTGACGTGTTTGTTTGTTCAGCTCTGCAGTGCCTGAGGTGGATGCAACTAGGGTATATAACTATAGGGGATACTAGCTGTGGCTTCGCCATTTCCTGTGTCTGGGTGGCAGGACACCTACAAGGGCCAGTAGAAAAAAAAAAAAACATCTCCGACCCGCTGAAGTTGTGGTTCTCAGGCTGAAAAGCGGCATGTGTTTTCTATTGTTTTCTTCCTCCGTGTCATGTCTTGCCTCAACGGGCAACCCTTAAGCCGCAGGATCGACCCCCCCCAGCTGACGAACATCAAAAGCACCGTTCAGACTACCGTTCAGCAATACTCACCTCCTCGTCACCTCGTCACCTCGTGACCTCGTCCCCATCCATTCACCAGTTCCACCAGTTCCGTGCAGTTCAGTGACCCAAAGCATCGTCCTCTTCGATCCGTACCACCTTCCTCCCCGACTCCATGGCGCAAACCGCGCCGGTTGCGGAGCCACGGTGCTCGGCTCGAGCCGGAGCGGAGCCGTGTGACTCGGGGTTCGCGCCGTGTTCAGCGGCGGCCGAAGTGTGAGTGCGGCGTAGCGGCTTGTGGTAGGACACGTAGTGTATACGTTTCATTGTGGGGGGGGGCAGGGGGGGGCCTATGCATGACAAGTGGGTCTGCAGGACACAGTCAGCCACTAGAGTAAAGACGGTGAATGCAGAAATAGTTCTAGCACTTCAACACAGAGGAATGTGCAAGGGGAGCCTGGTGAACATTTGGCAAACAACTCAGAGTTTCCAGCAAATTCACATAAATTCACAAAGCAATGCCAATCCTCTGTGAGTGCTAGGGCCTTCTCACCTTTAGCACATTCACTCAGCGGAGTTCAGCACTGAGTGATGCCCCATCCTCTGTGATCTCCTGGACGGGTCCACTGAGTGATTTCGCCCCCAAACTCTGAACGCTTTCCTCTTTCCAAAGGTCAACGAACATGGTCTATCCCAGACACTCCATGGGACTGCCATAGGACTGCCGATCAGTTGGGGTAAGGGGGTCAATTAATCGGCACTCCTATGGCAGTCCCATGGGTCGCATCTAAAATTATAGACCTTGTTTGTGGTGCCACGGCCATGCTATGGAGCTGTGGCCGCAGTGAGGAAAGCTGCTCACTGACCTGAAGGTGGTGCGATCAACGCATAGAAATGGAAGACCACGTGTGAGAAATGTGGCATGGCGTCTGGAAGGCCTACACCTGACCAAAGGCCTACCACTCCATCTGGTCAAATGTGAGAATTGTAGTCAAAGAATGCCAGAGATATTCAAGTTGAAACAGCATAATCTGAGTAATACTATACTCCTGGCCTTACTACTAGGAACAAGAAGCAAGCTACTAGGGGCTCCTGGCCTTACTACTAGGAACAAGAAGCTACTAGTAACAATATAACTATTTACAACCTCCCTCTGATACCGTCCCCAAGGCTTTTTCCGTGAGTCATCCATCCGTGCAAATGGACTGCATGATGCAGTGCTTGTCTGGTCTCTACTTCGAAGGTAGAATCCATGTCGTCACCATCATGTAACAGGTACCTCCAGAAAGAACAACAGTCTATAGCAACTGTGCGGAACAGAGAGGCATGTTCATCCAGTCTATGTCTGGAAGGTCTTAACCCACACCCTATTTGCGGCATGAGAGCAAGCAGGACAGTCGATATAGAAGCTCATGCAGTGTCTTCCCCATTATATCCGACTTCTTATGCAAGTCAGAGGTTGTCTGACGTGTTCTGGTCAAAACGCTGCTGCATGCAAATCACACTCGCCGAAAGACCTACCCCACCCGGAAAATGACACACATCACATGGCCTGTTTCCAGGGAGATGTCCAGGGAGATTTACCCTTTTTGGGGTTGCCTTTCATGTTGCTTTCACATGTGTCCCTAGTTCTTTCCTTCTTCTCCAAGCAACATGAATAGAGGGATTCACGGATTCACTGCAAGATTGACCTCCAAACCAGCTTGCCATGTTCATAAACATACACTGACATGCAAATCACATGTCATCGCACTTCCTACCGTGATGTCATGATGTCCTATACTAGCACCTTCCAACAGGTCACCACCTTCCGCATATAAAATGTCTGCAAAAGTCACCAAAGGAGACCTGTTGGAAGGTGACCTGGTATACCAGTGTGCTGTTTATACCAGTCTCCAGCACCTGGTATACCAGCACCATCCAACAGGTCTACTAGCACCTGTTGTATATAGATGTTCTTTCCACCTCAGAAAAAAACCGTTGGATTCTCCAACCGAATGGACCGGTGAAACATCGAATTGCACGGTGCCATGGGTACCAGAGCGTACGATGTGATCCTTGGGTCTACAAATGGCGGATGGCCTTGTCCAAAGCTAGACTGCAAGCAGGTACAAGTGGACTCTCGTTGTGGAAGACAAAAGGTCCTTTGCAGAGTGATGTTGGACGCTCCAATCTGCTATGATCCGACTTGGACATTCAGCCTGACAAACACCCCTCAACAAATCAAGCCTTAGCGGAACATAACATCTTTCAGACCACCAGTCCCGCACAAATGGCATTCATCGACCAACAATGGTATCCTAAAAATACTCTTGGAGTGACAAGCGATGCCAACGAAAATCCAGGATGCAGAAACTCCACAAGCAATGACCCTTCTCATGGTTACTTCCTGATACATGTGTAATGAACTCACTGGCCTCAATTCAATCGCTCTCCATCCCAACGGCGTAAACAACAAAATCACAAGAAATTCATCCGATTCGCACCCCTTCACTTCACATCCGAATGTTGTTCATCCAAGAGCTTCCGCAACCTCCTCACCTGGAGCAGGACGAGGAGGGTCGGCCGATGGCTGTCCATGATGTTCCAACAAAATGCCAGGGATGTTAACCCCTACCATGGTGGTTTGCTGTCTTTGATGGTAACTCGGTGGTCAAAATGCATATATGTTCACAAGTTCAAGTCCAAAAAGTCAAAGTCACAACAAAATCTACAAGTTCATAATACACTTTCTTTGTTTTCCTGGGGGTCTCTTTCGGTTTGGTATGTGTCGTACTGAAAACACCCGAATCGCCACCCCGTTCGAAGCGGACCCATCCGCCGCCCGCCCAAACGCCGGCCTCGTCCAAGTTGCTCGACACACTCAAGCGTTGCAGCATCGCCTCAGCTTCGATCCTGGCAGTGCTCTGTTGGCTCCGAACGCCACAAGCCCGGCGCGGGTGGCCGGCGCAGGTGGCGGTTTTGCGGGGCGTTGGAGGAAGATGGGGGGTGGGTATAGGTATATCACATGACCATGGGACCGGAGTACGATGGGTAGGATGATCGCATGCAAAAGCCTTTCCCTCAACGATGGTGACGTGCCATCCTTGCGCCAACTGATAAAATCATTGCAATTCTACATCATGGGACACACACCTTCGGTGGGTAGGTGATATAAAACCAACTTGACAAATCTTGGATGTACAAAGGGTGTGCTCAGTGCTCATTGTGAGCAAGCAGGTTGTGCATGAGCAAGTGGTGCGTTGAGTTTTCGGTCCACCCAGTCACTCAAACATAGGGATGGGGAGACTCCAATAACTCTAATTAGGGTTCTTCTATCATTATCACAGTTTGGAGGAGTTTGCGGCCATCAAAGCCATACCAAATCTTGTGTGTACAGGGTAGTTCTTCTTCGTGACGGCCTATGCAATAATGCATTATACAGTACATCATTCTTTCCTGGCTATCCCCATAGCACCTGGCTATCCCCAAAGCATCTGCTTTGCTTCCATTATACTGGTTCCCAGCCCTGTCTCCTCACCCCAGCCTGGACACGCTTTGGTCTCCAGCATAGGCGCGACCTGAGAAACTGAAACAAACATCAAACATAGGGCGAAAGAAGGGCTGCTGGGGCCAGTAAAAGGTGAATCTGTGTGGCTGTGACTGGCTGGGACTAGCTGTGGGTGTGTGATCTTCAGTCGTCTCCTTTCAAAGGGTCAAACCGCACACCAAGGAACCAAAGGAACCCTCAAATGCTGGGAGACCACCCGTTTTTTTTCAGGGCGCCGCCAACCAGCTCAACGATGTCACCACGACCAACCCAAGAAGATCCCCACTGAACATGTATTGGAAGCCGTGCCACTATCTATTTGGGGACCGCTATAGACGCTAGATGGAGACCTCCCAAGATTAGGGTGAAGATTGGTGCTGCACAGTTTTCCGGGCCTTGTCGGGTACTGTCCCCAAGGACCCACGGGAAGAATACCAAAACCATTGGTTTGTGGCCTAAATTGTACACAAATCTCTGCAAACGGTTTCGGCAAACCAAATTGGGGTTCGACGAGGATGCTTTGCGTGCTTGTTTGGCCAGTGTGGCTCTTCAGCAGTGATCACGTACGGAAACAATGAAGACTTCATGAAGGTCCAATCAGTTTCAAGCAAACTTCCCAGCGCCGGTATTCCAACAAAATATATAGTTTAAAGTTTAAAGTTAAATGCTAGAATTATCTAGAGTTCCTGGCATCCAAGCTGACAAAATCTGGAACAAAAGAGCAACAGTTCACCCACCAAATGTCCGCTGCCCAGATTCCATGCGAAGCTGCCTGCCTCCTATCTTCGTCTTTAACACTCAGGGCTCCCAACCCCATTTGGGCGCCGCAAGCAGCTGCGGTGTGAGGTTGCAGGGCGGCCCTGCCTGACACATGACATGCCTGTCGCATCCTACTTTTGCACCTCATCTAACGCTTGAGCAACGTCTGAAACCATCCGAACGTTAGTAAAATACTACATTGCTACATGCTACCTCTTCTGACACCTGACAAATTGCACGTGGCGAACATGTCCATGACAAACCGCATCATCTATAAATATATGAATATAGCTGCAGTTCAAACGAAATGGGCCACGTGCTGAGCATTCAGTGCATACAGCATACATGGACCGATTGAAGAATATGAGCTGACCCACTTCATGTGAAGACTCCTGGACCGCACAACCTATCCTCTTGAACTGGATCGTGGATAGCAAACAAATCCCAATGATGGCATGGTCACTGGCATGTTCATTGCTGTAATATGCCGTCCTTGTCTGGCAATCTGCTGGTCATATCTGCAGCCTCATCCCCTCAACAACTGACTGCATAAGTCTCAGTGAGACTCATAACCAAACCCATTCTTTGGGCCCATGCTCGGTTAAGTGATGTGAAAGTGTGTACCCTTCAACAATAATGGATTTTGAATGATTTTGATCACCTCGAGCGTCCGATGGGTGTTCCCATGCTATTCCAGTACGTGTTTCACCCGCAACACCCGCGGGCCTCAGCTTGGGGCTCTGGTGCCGTCGGTGCCGTCAGAACAGGTTTTGCCGCATCTTGGACAGCAGTTTGGCCCGCCAAGGGGGCGCCTGGCCAAAGGCATCCTAAAGGATGGATGGTCTGGTTCAATTTGAACTTCTCAGCTCTCTGTGTTTGGGTTGAAAAATGAACATGTAGGATGCTTCTTCAGTTCAGCTTACAAAACACTCAAACCCCGGATCGCTTCTCTCAACGAGTGGATGACCGGATGGGGCATCGCGCCAGTTTTGCGACTCGCGGGGACGGAGCGCTGCTGTTCTGGTCACAGCACTGCGCTGCTTGACGAAGGCAGATGGTCCAACACAGCAAATCAGAATTGGGTGTCTATCCAAAGATAGAAGCAAACAATTTCTGAACATTCCCTTGGTGCCGTTTTTTTTTGCATGTTGTAGTCACCTTTCGGTAAACATTCAACATGATTGCTGGCTCGGGTGCCACCAAGCTGTGTGCAAAGCTACGTTCATTTGGAAAAGCAAAGGGTCTGCATTCATGGTGCAAAGGTTCTTCAAAGAATCATCAAACTACAGTAGCTGAGGAAGGTGGATTGATCACAAGATCTTGCCTCATTCATCCTCAGGATAGTCACATGTCTGCACTGACATTCTCAGTGGGCTGGTGAATGGGAGTTCTTCCGTGTTGGGAGAGTCCCGGCTCAGAGCTGGCACATCTTCACGGGCTGCCACTGGAGGGTCTTCATGAGCACCCTGACCGTCAGCTGCCACGCTTTGAGCATCTGAGACTGCGTGGAAAGGAAGATCGACCGCTGATTTCTCGTCTCCATGACCCAACTGCTCCACCAGCTCTTCCCCTTCACACCCTTCACAGGCGAGGTCACCAGCTTCTTCTCCAAGATCACCATCACCTGCTTCCGAAACCTCTGGCATCTTGGCTGAACATCTCGCCCCACCCAGTCCTTCTGCCAGCTCCAGACCTTCACCCTCGTGCCCACCACGAGTGCGACCGGGCACACCCTCCACGCCACCGGGCACGTCGACCGGGCCGTACACATCGAGGATCATCGACTCGGCGGACTCCAGGACCTTTCCGGAGACCAGCTTCACCGCGCGGTACCTGGCGAATCGAGAGTCGATACGAGACGGTTTGGAAGGATGGGATGGGATGGGATGGGTTGGTTTTTTATTTTTTCCGGTGGAAGGAACAAAAAGGACGAAACCATTTGGAAGTGACTAAGTAGCTTTACTTCTGTCGTCCCTGATGTGCAAGATATAGTAGAGCCGATAGATATACCATAGTATAGCTATATATGTCGACATGTACCGCACATGCCGATCTATGCTGCTGCTTAGTCCGAGCTCGAAGGAAGCATGGACATGTTGGAAGCACGTGCATGTGCAAAGCTTCACGTGCTCCAAGTTTAAGGTCATTCCCAAACACTCCATGTATGCCATACATGCCGCCCCATTGACCCCTCAATCCACCCCAATGCAGGTAAATATGACATACATGGAGTGTCTGGGGTATAGTCAGTGGATTGTGATTGGCAGTAAGTGGCAAAATCCTCAAGGTCGGTGGTTTATATGATTTATATGAACCCCTTGTAAGAAACATCTTGAGGTGCCAGTGCCATCTACTTCTTGAAACTGTATCGTTAAGCGGTATAAAACGAGGCCAACAAAAAACGTTGAGTGGATAAGTTTCAGCAACTCCTTTCAGCAATACGCGTCCTGCAGGGCGCCAATCTAGTGGCTGAAGGTCAAGCCAGGTGCGCTTGGATTGTTGGGTCACTGAAATTTGAAGGTGCAAATCCAAACAAGTAAAAGCATAAGTAAACGATTCAAACAACAAATAGTTATATATATATATACAGTATGTGTAAGCGATTAAAAAATATATACTGTAGTACAGACTTTAAATAAACATATTACACCTATGCCCTCCACTGTGAAATAATCAGTCAGCAATCTGTGGAAGTGCTTTGTGATCCATCTCGAGAAAACGACGATTCTCCCAAGTGGATCATGTTCACATGAGGACGTCCCATGTGGAAACCAAACTCATCCAGCCTAGTACTCCTGAGCTGACCTTCTCATTAAACAGTTGTTGATCATTTGTAGATGCATCCACCTAAAGCAATACTGATACAACACCTCGAGATTACTTGTTATTCCAGGTTTCTCCAGGTTTGCAATCTGGAGGCGCAAATATATATATATATATAATGCCTATAATTACAAAGCATTCCATGCGTGCGTCTAATCTATGTAATATCTATGATTGTGCATGCACAACTATATATCTATATGCCAAGAAAGCACCATTCCCACGGCCAAACACCATTCAGGCCAGCGACAAGGAGCAAAAAACACGGATCAATCCAGCCAGGATCATCAGGCCGCTAATGAGCGGCAAGGGGTTGTTCTCGTTGCCCGCGGCATGGGAGAGGAAGAAGCCCAGGGAGTGACATCCACTGAGGCCGACCATCCTCAGATTTACAAGGGGTTGAGGCAACTGGAGGGAATGAGGAGGGAATGGTGGAAACTCGCTTTTAGTCATGAAGGATCTTGTAGATTCCTAGAATCAAGGTTGATTGGAAGGTTTGGCATAAGCAAGTTCCTCTATAAGACAACATGCAAAAACCATTGGCGAAATTCACCAGCAATCCCAAGCAGCATTAAACCATTGGCCAAATGGATGAATGGAACGCCACCGATCGTCCAAGTGTTCATCCTAGCAAGTGAATAGTTAATAAGGAAATCGAAGTGGTAGGACTTCACATCAAACTCATTCTGTGGGTCATCAAGTGTTCAACACATTCTTGGCCCCAGGTATGGATGCCAAAACGCGATTTCCATGCAATCCCTATGGCCTAATTACCCTCCGTCCTCTCCATGACCTGCACCAGCTGTTCCTTGTCTGCCTAGTGGAGGCGCGGACGGCCGCGGACTGCCACTTCAAGAGGCTTCGGACCAGTCTGGTGTCAAGAACAAACAAGTCAGTTCTTGAAGGAAGAATTCTGACCGTTCACCCCATGAACGGAACATCATCAAAACATAAACCATCAATAACCATCATATTGGTGCGAGGTGAATTGACGTGAACTCTCACCCAACATGATCCGCCTGAACCTTATGCAACTTCTGAAACGCACTCCTTTTCCAGCAGCACTTCGCCCTCCACCGAGCTGACCCAACTGGCGCATACTCGCGCGCAGGGAAAACGCGTCTCGCACGTCGCGGAGCGGAAGGCCTCCTCCAGGCCCGTGACGTTCGTGAGCTGCTCCATGAGGCTTTCGGAGAAGAGCTGCCGCGACTCGGGCGTGGAGCCGTTCTGCAGCCAGTCCATGAAGAGGCAAATGTACGCACACAGGAGCACCTGTAGTAGAAGTGCCGTTTGCTCTAAGAGCAAGAATGACAAGGAGGAAAGGGATTGAAGAACATGTTGTACATTTGGTGCCATTCTCTCTTTGTCAAGACAAGATAGACAAGGTTGACCTTAATAAAGCCTATATATATATATATTACCTTCAATCAGAGTGTTGGTCGCAATGAGGCCACTCCAATTTGCCAGGAACGCACCCTGCTAGATCACCAACAAACTGAATGCATGAGGACATCAACCCCCAGAATCCAGAAGCTGAACAGTGACGAATCCAAACATCTGGAGCCACTGACAGTGTAGCAAACATTCACCTCAAAAATGCTTCTGGAGCCTCCTTGAGCCCAAGGACTGCTCCATGGCGGATTAGCTCACGCTCGCTGGTCTGCAAAGCCCAACAAAGCTTACGTAAGCCTGTGCTCAAAGAACATAGTTCCACAATGGAGAGAGGACATACCTGCCTTTGAAGGCAGGTCCCTCCTTCACTGGATTCCCTAAAAACACCATGCTAGCATATGCTAGCTATATCCAGCAAAACTGCCAGCAGAAAACAATTTTTGCCCAGGCGCCACGAGACCAAAGACCAGCAAGGTCACGGTGTGCAGCACTAGGGCGGATCTGAGAATGTTTGCATAGAAGGCGCGTTGCACGGAATACACATACCTGGCAGCACGCGCGCCAACCGCCACAGCCACCCGACCGGTTGAGGTCGTTCATGAAGGTAAGTGTTGAGTGAGCGATGACATGGAGAAACACACCAGACGTCGGAGTTGGAAGTGACACAAAGCAAAACATGAATCTGAAGTCGGAAGTCAATCTCGCCGAGGACGCTGTTATATTTGGAACAACTGATTCCTCGTAAGTTCCACTGGAGAACCAGTGGTGAAGTGAAACTTTCACCGAGGTGAACAATCAACTTTCACTGAGGTGGCAGTTCAGTTCTTTTCCTTTCAGAAGTTGACCTCTACCTGACTCGTCACACATCACGGTCACCAGCCACAACCGGAACCTTCTAACGGAAAGCCCAACGGGGCACCGTAAAAAAAACAAAGGAACGGCAGTCTGGATGTCACCCCATGGATACGAACAAAACACACGGGGGTCTAACCAAAAATGGTCATTAAAGAGAAATTGGAGCCAGGACTCGCGCGCCCTTTTTCAATCAAAAAAACATGATACGATAATTATATGATTAGCAGGCATGTTTGAGGTTTAACAAAACACTTGGCGTGGACCAGCGTTCTTCGACCGTCCCATGTCTTGATCGGTTAGGAAAGAACAGGTCTCGGTCTCATCACCCAAGCATTCGACCCCACTGGTTGACAATCACTCATGTTGAAAAGGGAATACCTGGCCAACCAAAAACTTGCACCGCTGCTGAACGTCTGCATTCTAACCTGCCATCCACGATTGTTGATGCCAGGGCATCGAATTCCGACCGCAGCCTAGATGTAGCCGTTGAATAGCCCTATAAAGACGTTCAGCTACGGGTTTTGGGTGTGTTCTTGTGACAGGTCTCTTGTGTTCACCAAATATGTGCGTTCTGGATCGTTCTGGCAGGTTGAGCATCGGCAAAAACCATATGAGAAACCCTGTTTCCGGCGTCCAACGACAAAAGAACGTCAAGCTGCTGGCACTGGTCGCATCGGAAGGAGGATTGTGGATTGGCACTTGAGGCTCGCCACATGTTCAAACAATCCATGTGGACATAGCGCATGCTGCCGGAACACAAGCATGGAGAGATGAGTCCTTGGTCTGGCGCCAGGCCAATGTTCGGGAATATTGTTTTGAAAACAAAGGGGAAAACCCCACTGCCACGGTCTGCGCAGTGCAGTCACACATGGATACTCTATCCATAAGAGCCAGATTGGAGCTGAAATGATATATTAACATCGGCACCACCCCTGGTGCAAAACAAGGGTCTTTTTCATGGTGTTAAGGGCTCATCGTAATTACACACCATTTACACACTTTCATTGTGCCCTGATTCTCCGGGAGTCCAGGTCTCATGAACCCAAAGACTCCTCGGCGCAAACTTGAAACATCCCCAAGCCGCAAGGATCGCCCACCCGGTCGCACCGGACACGCGGCGACTCCGTGCGACATGTCAGAACCGGTGCCGGCCATGAGATCCCATCGAAACATGTCTTTCGCATGACGTGGTTTCATCGGTCATTGGAAGGATTCGCAGGATTCCGAATCATGCGACCGCATTGGGCGCATTGGGGGAAACCATGAGGTTCCTGACTGCTTGACCTGCATCTGGTGTATCCCTTCACTGGATTCACTTCGATCCCTCTGCCCATCCACTCCACCGAGGGGCGCCCGCTCTCGCTGCCTCCGAAGCAAATCCGACACGTCGGTGCCTCGGAGGCCTCCTGCCCCTCGGCGCGCTGCGGGTGCAGGCGTGGAGGAGCCTTACGCTGCTGGGCCGCCAGGAAACGCAGCCGATTCACCAGGTAGCTGCTCCAAAGCAGCCAAACGTAGAAGATGAACTCCCTGTTGAGCTCCTGAGTGGAAGGGCGCTTTCTTTTGGTGTGTTTTTTTTCTGGAGTCAAGCACGTTGTTTTTTTATGACCAAGTTCTGCAAACAAACAGTGCTGTCGGACTTGGCTAGGTCATAGCATCGTTCCGATCGTTGTGCAATTTGATACTCAAGACTCAAAGCGGCCATGGTCGGGAGCTCTCCTCCAAGATCTCCAAGGAAGCATGCTTTTTGAAGCCCTACAAAAGCCTTGTGAGCCTTCCAATGGATGACAACACACTCTGACAATTGTATTCAGTTAACTCAGTTCCCCGAGGAAAGGAATGGCTCAACGGTAAGGTGAGGAGTCCGATCAATTGAAGATGTTTTAACAAGTGGTTTGTGCACAACTGCGGCGACAAGCTGCAAAAAACGCGGTTGCTGAAAGTGGCTGAGAAACCTGTTTGGGGGTGGAAGCATGAAGAACCATGAATCAAAAAGTGGAAGAGTAGGGTGACAGCATGTGAAAAATTCGGCAGGTACGTTCAGAGAGCGTCCTCTCCGAATGTCACAGTCTCAAACCACCGTCTTCGTTGGGCAGTGGATGGAATGAGACTCACTGCCCCCCTGCCGGCGAAACTGTGGTTGAAATGTTGGTGGTGAACCCTTGACCCAGGGGTTGACACACACAGATCGCCGTGACCGGCCCCTGCTGGAATCAAACAAGGAAAATTCTTATGTACAGAGTGTGATACACACTCCGCCGCTTTGCGGCTCTCTGGCATAAAACGTAAGATAGTCACCTAAAGAGCCTTAGAAACAAAAGAAAGGAAAAACAGAAAAAGCAGCGCTAAGAGGGCAAGAAAAAAAGATAGGTGGAGAAAAAGGTGAATACTTAGCCCTTGACTGGGGTAGGGAAACGAGCCTGAAGAGCAACCCAAAAAGCCTGAGAGAAAGCCCAACAAACGACGGAAAGCGCAAGAAGAAAAGTGGGGGGGCAGGGAGGGGATGTATGTTCATGTGTGTGTACATGTGTGTGTCTGACTACCTAGCACTCTAGAGTTATTGATTACTTAGCCGAAGATAATTAAGTGCAGTAGTTAGGGAGCGGGACTTTAGTCTTAGACCGCCCGGGTAGAGAAGACTAGAACAGGAACAACACAGGGAAAGGCACCGACACACAAGTGTGTCGAGTACCATTTCCCTATGTTGCCCTAATTAGGTGGGGAGTAGAACTCGGCTGGGGGGAGGGTTGGGGAACCTGCCTGGCTGCGAGTGGAGTACCGTTTTAAAGCCCGGCGGCTATGGAGTCCCGTGTTTAGGCCCGGCGGCCGTGGTGGCAGTTAATTCGGTGGATGTGGAGGCGACTTCCAGTGGAGTTCCTGTGAAAGGTGGTGAGGTCAGTTAATGCTTGCACGATGAGACAGCGCCCCAATGACGGGGATCACACTCAGCACCCGAGTGGGACGGCTGAGCGAAACACACTCTGACAATTGTATTCAGTTAACTCAGTTCCCCGAGGAAAGGAATGGCTGAACGGTAAGGTGAGGAGTCCGATCAATTGAAGATGTTTTAAGAAGTGGTTTGTGCACAACTGCGGCGACAAGCTGCAAACAACGCGGTTGCTGAAAGTGGCTGAGAAACCTGTTTGGGGGTGGAAGCATGAAGAACCATGAATCAAAAAGTGGAAGAGTAGGGTGACAGCGTGTGAAAAATTCGGCAGGTACGTTCAGAGAGCGTCCTCTCCGAATGTCACAGTCTCAAACCACCGTCTTCGTTGGGCAGTGGATGGAATGAGACTCACTGCCCCCCTGCCGGCGAAACTGTGGTTGAAATGTTGGTGGTGAACCCTTGGCCCAGGGGTTGACACACACACACACACACACACGACCACAAAGCCGAACCAAAAGGGTGGCATCATCTGAAACCCATGTTGGATCATATTGGGAAAGAAACCCCTTAAGGCGCCTCTTTCTCCACCTGGCCATCTCCCACAGGAGTTACTCCGAGCGTCTAGGTCTATGACCTCTTCGAGGTACGAGGGCAGAAGGTCGCCATCGCCCCACATGTGCCAAACGATCTCCTGCGCCCGCCATCACAGACCCCATTCTTGGTTGGGCAGGTGCCATCCAAATCCATCCAACCTCCCCGGGTGCGTTGACCGCATGAGGCACGTGGTCCAATCACATCCTTTTGTCAAGCATTTTTCAAACAAAAAATACAAAAAAGAACCACAGGTCCAAGTCCAGCTGCTACGTTGGGCCGAGACTTTACGGTGGACGGGTCTGGGGAGGCTGGGCCAGTGAGGCCCTGGGGACTTGGGAACTGAATCTGGATCCTCAGGTCTCTTCGGTCATCTTCGGTCGAACTGGGAACTGCTCTTTTGAAAAGCAGCTTGGAACTGATCAATGGTTGACACGGCCATCCAAGCTTTTGTTCTTGGCAAATCGCCGCAAATTCCAGCTAACATCGCCAACCATCCCAACATACATGGTTCAACGGTGCCTTTTGTTTATCGATCAAATCAGCCAAACTTGTCCACCATCAGCTATTCCAGAATCCCCGGTCTCCAGCATCGAGTGTAGGACCATGAAGGGCATCCCTGTGTAGATTGCCACAACCAAGCTGCGCCCGATGGAGGGCACGGGGGCGTCCACGTGCCGCAGGAAAGCATAAGCGAAGTAGCCCAATGGCCAATAGAAAAGCAATACCTGAGATCATCCACATGGTAGACTCCCTGGTCTGCCCTGGGCAGCGTATTTTTCTGCTTCGGAGCCGCAGCAGCTGTTGATACAAGAATTCCCTAACCTTGCCACTCACACAGGGGTTTGCCCATGTTCCAACATCATCTGCCTCAGCCCATGCAATGTTTCACCACCCACTTTTTGCAATTGTGCAGGACTCTTTTTGGGAAGTGCTGGCAGAAACACCACTGCAAGGTGAGGCTGCTTGTGGAACACCTTCCAGCCAACACGGCGGGCTATAGAGATCCAAAGATTTCTGAGTTTGTCCCATCATCTATATCATCTGTTTGATGCTCTCTGATCATCTCTGATCCTAGTGCGTACAGTATACAACATATTATGCGATGTTCAAAACATCTAGCATGCATTCTGCAGGCAATTGCTGGATCGAATTCATCCATTCCAGATCTTTATATAAGTCATTACACCCAACCTCCTGGCCCCAGTGAGAGATCCAAGTTGCAAGGCTGCCTTGGGTGATGAAACTCGCCAAAATGCAAGCCATCCATCCAAGCAACATGCCCAAAGGTAGCACCAGCTTCCAACGAAGCGCCCAAAAAAAGGCTTGGCCACTGCTGCTCCCAGTCTCCAATCTGTGCCTCGGAGACGAAAAAGTAACCGTTACTTGGACACACGCGCACACATATACACACACGTGCGCGCACAAACACATGTTTGGTTCATTTTTGGGGGTTCAATTTCGCTCAATCTCTCCCTCTCTCTCTGTCTTGTATTTGTTTCTGCACCTCTGCACTCTCGGCCAGCCCATGCTGACGCCGGACGCGACGCCGTTTGTGTCTTGCCACGTCTTAGCCGAGAGTCTTGGGCTTCCTGCCTAGAACACAGCAGGGAGTTGCCATGCTTTCGGCAATAGAGGCCTGCAGTGTCAGTCTGACCAATGGTGGCGTTCGTTGGTTCGTCTGGCTTCGGCTAGAGTCTAGAGGCTGCATATGGCATAACGAGAGCCATAATAGTTATCCCCTATCCATCTGAGGTGTTGTATCGCTGGTTGCGATTCCAATAAATGGTTCCAACATAGCTGAGCTCCCTGTCTAATTATACATAATCTGGAATTGCTATGGCAATGTCGCCGAAACAAAGTCTATCAGCCGGTCACTGCAGGATCTCGAGGAAGGGTCCCACTGCACCACTGCACCACTGCAACAACCGATGCTTTTTGTCTTGCGTGTCTGTTGCCAACATGCTTCAGGTAGGGGCCCTACCTATGCAAGTAAGAGTACTTCAGTCGAGAAGGAGGGTGAAAGGCACAAAGATTGGACCGGCAGGTGTCCCCACAAATCGGATGCGACCAGCTCTGGCTCGCTGAACGTCCTGGTTAGCTCCTAGGTGGGTCCTGCTAGGTCCTGGTTAGGTCCTGGGTGGGTGGACCGCCTGTCATGCACTGCAGCGGCTCATAGAGGCGGAGCTCCTTCTTGCTATAGCTTCGCCAAAGCTGCTGTCCTGAGGACCTCCGGTGCGACCAGTACCTGGGAGGGTTGATCGGTGGGGCCCTGGGTGGATCAAGGGAACGACCTGCGCCCCTCCCCTGTTGAGCGGAGGGAGGGGGGGGAGTGAAATTTGGGGTTTTGGTCAACATCTTGGATTACAAAAAGGCATCAACATGCTTTGTGGCTTAGGGGCAGCACCTGCCACAGCGCAGTGGTTGCTGGACATGAGCGGCCTGGTGATTCCTTCTATGGTTTATCATTTGGAGTGGCCTGACTCAGGGATTGCAGGAAAGTGCTGACTGTGGTCTGCGGATGACATTCTGGATGAATACCTGTTTTCTTGGAGGCTGCACTGGGCCGATGAGGGAATAACCCAACGGCAACAAATCAGAAAGCTGAATATCCGAGGGCCAACATCAAAATGCAGCACATGTATAAACCAAAATAACACAACATATCACAAAATAGCACTCCAGGATGCTGATTGTGGTGAAACGAGAAGCCTTCCAAAATGGCAAAGCTCCTTTGCCGAGACGTGGCTGCTTCGTTAGAAGACCGAGGTCGATGCGCCGAAGTTCAACTGCTCAGGAAAGTTATCACATGTAGAACCTGATGATGCTTCTCCATCAACTAATATCTCTCTCTCTCTCTCTCGCTCTGTCGTCTTCTGGCAACTAACGGATGCGACATTGTTTACACCGGATTGTTAATGTATTATATTAATATTACTAATATATGGTAGCAATCCCCTAATCCTCTCCTTGTGTCCAACTCGCTGTCCCCCAAACCATATGCATGTCCATGTTGGATTCTATGTGGCCTCCCATAACATACGCCTTCCATCCCTCACCGTAATGTCCAGGTCTCCCTGCAACAACCTCTGCAACATTCTGCAACCATGTTCAACACCTTGCCGCCAGCTGGTGCCCCTGCCTCAACATCTCACCAAAAAGGATTTGTAGAAGAACGGTCCACCCCGTGCCCAGCTCCCCAAAGGGAACCCACGGTGAGCCACATGTGTAGTGTCATGTCACGATCTCCTGCTGCCCAAGGCCAGAATGGCCTTGCTCGCCTGGAGCTCTTCCAGGGAAGGGGCCTCTTCCAGGTCGATCAACAAGCGACTCGTGCGCCGCAGCGCCGTGGGCAGCACCGAGCAAACACAAGCGGCCAGGGGTTCTGTGCCATTGCAGGCGGGCAGCTCCTGGATCAAATGGAAGACACAATGTTCGTCTTGTCAGGTTGCTGGTTGATCTGGTGAAGATTTCCCACTCCGCGTAAGTGGACGCATATGTCGCCAAGCCCTGTTGGGATCCCTAATCAAGAAAACTATACCCCAAACACTCCATGACACTCCAATGGAATGTATGCCTAAATTGACCCGATGGCACTGAGTGTTCCAAGCTTATAGTATATGGTAGTATCTGAATCTTATTGTATGGCCATGTTTGATCCTGTTTGGTCCACCATGTGGAATCTCCGGCCTCGGCGTTGTCGGAGCTTCCACCCACATAGACCTGCATATAGGGGGCGAGACGAAACCGATCCAAGTGCCTTGGTGATTTCGGAAGACCCAAAGGCCCTCAGCCTGGTACGTGAGGGAATGGGCTTTGACTGGAGATGCATTTCAGGATCCAGAAAACCTCATTCCGAAACCGAGCCCCTCCAGCAAGTCAAAATGATGTGTGTTCTCGCATAAGTCAGCTCCAGTCTTGAGTTCAACCAATTGAGCACTCCTTGGATGGTCCAGGGACCATCGATTCGTGTGATTTGCTGAAACTCATGACCTGGCTTGGAAAGCCGCAAATGATTTGGCAGCTACTCTCCAGACGCAACAGGTGACCATCAGCAGGCCTGGAGTTTTCAATGTAAGGTCCACCGGTGCATTAACAGTAACATTAAAATGATTCATGCAGAAAACCATCTATTCCACCTGTTCAAACGGCCATGCTTGCATCTTGAACTCTCTGGGAAAAGCCAAGCCCAGGCAGGTTCAAACGTCAGCTGGAATCAATGACGGCACTCTCCCCAGTTTCGACCGTGAAAGTTCCAGTGCTCTCACCTGGTACTTGTACTGTGCCAGCATCGTTGATGGCTGCACACCACGCACCGTGGCTGGCAGCCAGGTTCCCATGAGCGGCTGTGGCAATAGGGGCCCTGGGCGGCCCAATGGGCTTAGGATGGCTTATATAGGTAAAGGAACATGGGACAATGACAAAGCTCTAGTTGGCAGCAGGCAGGCTTGCGGGGCCAACATGCGATGTTCTGTAAGTATCTGCATTATACGAACTGATCTCAATCCGACCACCTAGATGGCAAGGAAACCTTTCTTGAGGTAAGCCAAATAAGCACGTCCAAACACCCTAAAGCTTGAGTGGTCAGGATTGTCTACAAAGCATGGCAGCGGCATATCAATTTAGTTTGTTTGACACACTGGACCAGGATGAAAGGGTCTAGGCTCAATCTCACTCAAAGTATCACCCAAGGATCGGGAACCTCACGTGTTGCTGTGGCCCAAGCTCCAATCCTTGCACATCCGTTTGATATACTTTTCCACCCCAGGATTGGGACAAGCCGTTGGGCCACCCATTCCTTGTTGCAACACCCCTGTGATCCAGGAAGGGCTGATCTGGCTGACATAGGGCGAATCCATGCAAGTGCGTAGGCTTGAAAGGATGAATCTCTGAATCCTGCCTGGTCCTAGCCTCATTATATTGTGAGGTCCCAGCCTCTCCTGGGGGGTAGGACCTTTTCCAGATTCCTTCTACGATTAATTATCGCGTTTTTTCCACTCGTTTTCTCCGGTTCGTTGGGCTGGCGGGACAAAAGTGGAGACTTGTGGAGCTGAGGGTCGGAATCTCCATCCCATGGTCCCAAAGAATGGCTCTCCGATGACCGGCCATGGCCATCCACGTATCCATGTATTTGTCGGAGTTGGGTCCCCAAAACGGAGATCGGAGATTATAAATCTTCCCCCTTTGGAGTGAAACACCTCTTCATATGGGGAGCTTAATACATCAATGAGTCTATACACCTTGAAAATCCATTAAATTCCTTTAAAAAAAAAACAACATCCGTGGTTCAATCCATTTTGGCAGGGTGATGGTTGGTGTGTTGAGGGTTGCGAACGAAGGAGTATGGTACTTGGAGGTCTCTGGACGTCGGACGGTCCTTGGACCAGGTGTCTGGGTGCTCCACAAGCCACCAAATCCTGGTCCAATAGGACTTCGACAGGCTCATCCAGCTCGAACTGCAGCACTTGGGAGTTGAAGCTGGGAACTTGAAGCTGACCAGTTCTGGACCAGTAGAAATAGGCCACCAGCATTTTCCCCAGGTTTCGCAAGTCCTCGGGCTGTTTCATTGGTTTAGTGTTCGAAAGTGCGTGGACCCCAAGAAGACACATTTTGCATCCCGTGTTCTCTTGCACAATTTCCGATTCCACTAGCAGCTCATTAAAAACAAACTCCAACAATGCCCCCGCTTCCCACTTCCCCAAAAACACTCCGCTCTAGCTCGCTCCCAAGTCTCTGGGCTGCCGAAGTCTAATGAGAGCAAGGTCCAGGACAAAGAGCCACCACAGAGGTCGAAGAGGCTTAAGCTTGGTAGCTCCAAAGAAAGGCGAGGCTCATGAGACGAGGACAGGGAGCCACCACTGAGAACTCCATTGGTCAAATTCAACTCCTCGGTCGTACTTGTGCGGCCCAGGGGTGTTTGGGTGAACAAAGTTCCAGGTGGTGTTGATCAAAAGCTCCCTCCTCATCAAGTTCTCTTGCCCAGTTGAGGTGGTGGATGGTAGCAGCAACGTTACTGAGCATCCAGGGTGGACCCACATGAACTGCACCCAGCAAACAGTGAAAGGTGGTGGGGAGAAGCAACCAACATCAATGGATTTGAGTCGATGGTTGACTCTCGCAAATCTTTTCAGACACTGGACAACACACTGCTACTGGATCACACCCTTTTGGATGCGCAAAGAAAAGAAGAATCACCTGGTCAGCATCCTCATTCAAACATCCTGGAGACGTTCTCCCCTAGAATCCCTAGATACCCATGATTCCAAGTGACCAGGCCCTCAGGGAAGGCATCCACCAGATCTGCCGGGAGCTCGTGCAATGTGGCAACCAGTAGCAGCTCGGGCCACAAACGCAGCGCCACCAGCAGAAACTGAAAGCCTCACACGGCTGCGGGGCTGAGAGATGCTGGAGATGATCTGCCTGAATCCAGCACTCGATTCGCAAGTTCCCACCCTTTGGCCAGTCCCTGGCCACGCATCGCCGTGCTTCCCCCAAAGGGTTTTCCCCCAACTCGCCCGTCGCACGGCCCGCGCCCGCGCCGTCGCTGGCGGCCGAGGGGCTGCCTAGAAGGGCTATCGACACGGCGAAGTAGCGACCTGGGCGCCGCCGACGTCCCGAGCGGTCTGGGTGGATGGGGACGTCGGGTGGACGGGAGCGTCAGAAAAGAAACCGCCTGGCACTGCGAGTGAGGAAAAGTGATTATGGTCGGTCTTTAGACACCAGACTATATCCTTGTTATGCATGTCATAGAAATATGGAACATGGGAAAAAGGTGACGTGCCTTCTTTGTGGGACTGACATGGCAGAACTGCAAAGGTAAGGTTGCAAGGGGAATCTTCAGTTTTTTGAGAACGACCTAGCATTCAAATGAAATCAAAGATTGTTCGAACATGGTCCAGGCACAAGCATCTCTGGATCCTTTCTCCAGAAGCTTCAGGCTGTGAAAGGAAGAGGGTCTAAGGTACATCGCGCCATACGTCACCAGCAACGCTCCAAAGATCCCGGCGGCGCCCAGCAGCAGAATGGCCACCCGCCACTCCGCAGAGGTCGGCGTTTGCTGCAGCAAGAAGCTGCCAAAGCCAACGCCAATGGCCCAGCGGGACGAAATGGCCCAGCGGGACGCCAGCATCCGAACTAGACCATCGAAAAAGGTGAAACCGGGGAAATGAGGCCGAAGGAAGTGGGATGAAGGTGGGATGAAACTGTGACTCTGCAACTCTCGGCTGAATGTGAGGTGAATAGCGTTCAGAACGCCGAAAAGGTCTTCGTTGTAATTATTTGGACATAGCATAATAGCTTGACCATGCTTAAGCCATCCAACTAACTACCCTCTGCTTGTGCGAGTGCATGTAGGAAGACACATACTGCCTCCGTCTTGGATTCCCAAAGGCAATACACTAAATGCTTTGTGTTTTTAGTTTTCCTTGAGTTGTTTTTGTTTGTTCACTCGCCTCTTTTCATCACAGGATATATCACAATCTTTGCACGTGAGTTGCTCTGGGCAAATGGCAGTAACGGTCGCCGTCCGATTGCTGGAACCGTGTGACCTACTTCCATTCGGCAGAGCAATGCAACACAAGCCGCTGACCCAAGGCTTGTACAATGCACTGATCACCCTGCACACACACAAAACTCACGTAAATCCATAATGTGGAGCGAGCACTTCTGGATACAGAGTTTCCATGTCTCTTTAGCTTTGTCTTCAAGTCTTTTGACCTCAACATATTCCACAACAGGTGTGAACCAAAGCAACCGGAAGTTGGCCACACTAAGAAACTGATGTACCTCCCGCCTGCATGCAGCTTGGGTCGCTTTTGATTTCAGTCCGTGGCCGTGGCCTTGTGATTCCCTCTACATTCCAAGGATTTTCTATGATTCTCTCATATTCTTCAACCAAAGGAAGCCCCCATAGATCCCTCATCGTCTTTCAGTAGCGCACCCCAGTGTGCGCTTCGGTAGCACCCTGCCCGAGGTTGGGAGGGCATGGAGTAAACATCATCCTACGCCTAAACGAAAAAGCATAGAGGGCCTAGGGGCCAAAGTTTGTTACCTAGTAACCTAGTACAAATATAATGAACACAAATTGAACAAATAAATAGGATATATGGTACCACACAATCTTCAATCCGTGCAATTCATTGTAGGGGGATTGGATTTAATCAGGCGAACGCAAGAATGGACTTATAGGGAATTACTTGCTCAATTGTCCGTGTCCGTGTCCTTTCCACTGACATCCTCCCCATCTCACTTCGCTGCAGGGCGCCTGAAATCTCCGGCTGCCTGTCAGCCGGAAGATCAACGCCCGACGTGGCGGAGGACGCACCCGTCGTTGGGCAAAATGTGACATCTCTGGCCACTGTGCCAGACTTGATGTTGGCTTTACGGCGGGTGAGGTCAAGCAATGCGCGGCTTTGACTTCGCTTCAAACCCTTCAGATTCAAACGCGTGCAATATAGCATATGCATATAGAAAGGTGATCCCTTCGTTTCAGTCCCACTATCAATGAATCAATAATGCTGTTCTTATGTCATCATTGATGTCATTTCTATGCTCCAACATCTGCGGGATGTGAATGCTGACGACTCACATTATACATTCAGCCTGACCCGGAGAATCTTTTTGGGGTTGGCTCTCAAACTCGATGTCTTGCAGCCTCTTTTGGGGGGTCAACCTGGAGAGTCTGGAAAAACAGAAACAGAATGGACGTCCGTCGAGTATGGGTTCGATGTGTAATTGATGTACCCGCCCCCCCGCACCTCACACTTGCCCCAAACCAGTCGATTTCCAGGCTGTCACAGGCTTTGGTCATGTGGATCAGGGTAGACCAATCAATCTCTGCCACAGCCCAATTCCAAAAAACATACAAGATTTAAAGCATCATCATGTGTCTTTAATGCAAACCAGACCCTGTTCGGCCACATTCTTGAAATTTCTTGACACATGGCCCAGCATCGGAAGAGCTTGGTACCCACAAACCGGAATAACAGTCACAGTCCGTGGCTGCCTGAGCTGCTCAGGAGTGCCCTCACCGCCCTGGCGACGAGCTCGTCACAGGTGAACTCTTTTGGTGCTGTGGGTGGAGGAATCTTCAATCCGATTGAAGATCTTGAAGGCCTTCTTTCTTTTTATCTCAAGCACTCCAACATCCAACTCCAACTTGTTTGTTTGCAATGGCTCACATGGAGAAGAAATGGACCTGGAGATTCTCCGCTTCTGCCACTGGGAAACATGTCCGAACTAGTCCGAACCACTTTGACACCCATGGAGAGCAATTTCAATAGCAATTTCCAATTGTCCGCCACCCATCACCACCACCCCGAAACCTTCCTTCCTTCTTTCCTCACTTCGCGAGCGAATTCATGGCAGCCCGCCTGGACCGTGGCCACCTCCGTCGTCGACTCCGCCGACTCCGCCGTGTCCGGTGTCGCGACGTGAGGCGGACCCCGCGGACCCCTGCCAGGTCCGGTGCGCGTTCGAGTCCATGCAGAAGGGGCGGGGGGGGGGCCTGGATGGGGAATTGTCCAACATCAAAGGAGCCTCCTTAAGGGGTGCCCTGTCTGGAAGCCTAGGCAGGTAGTGTGGGGTAGTTCGGACGCCCTGACAGGAGGGTCCTGGGGTTGTGTTTGTTCATATATGAATTCTGAGGGTGTACGTCAAGATTTGAGATTGGAGTGAAGTTCTCATGGTTCTCTCTGGGGTTTGGAGGATCAATTGACAAGGAACAGGGGCAAGTGTTGTTTCTGTGAGGGATTGCAAAGCTAGTAGATTATTATCATTAAACCTTTCACGCTAGGCTACCGGACATTGATACCATTGGTAAATTGGTTGCCAGTTATTCACATTGGTATGGCTCAACAAAAGCATGAGGGTTCATACCAAGCATGACCAAAATTCAATGGTCAAAATTGCCAAAGTAAAAACACACAAGCATCTCTGGATCTAGCTCCTTGGAATATCCTTAGACTACTTTGTCCGTTTGATCTTGTGGCGCTCCACACCTTGTGGCGCTCCACACCTAACGCCGGCCTGGTGGCCGGTGGAGTGCCATCGGCCTGGCGGCAGTGTGTTGGTTCCAGAAGAGAGTAATGCACCTGTCACTTGGAAGAGGAAGAGAGGGTGTCATCTCCATCCAAGTTCCACCGCCATCCAAGTTCCATAAAATTGGAAGAACTTCCTTTTGGAACTCTGCCGGCTCATGCGAGCTATGCCTTTTGGAATCGGACCCCTTGGGTGGTGACGACTGCCAAGCTAGGCCGGTCTTCTGGAATCCGTCAAACATCAAACGCCGTTCTCGAAGAAACGGCACACAGCGGAGCATCTCGAACGGCCACAACAGTGGGCACTGAAGCATGATTTCCTCATATTTCCTATAGAAGCAAAGTGACCTATCTCTCATGGGCTTCACATGGCACCAACACAGGTTGAAAAAACCCTACTTCGACTCTCCCAGTTGGGTACCCCAGATCGCTGCGGGTCCCGATGGTCCCTTTCCCCCGGTTCGTTCCGCCGCCGGATCTCGCCGACTCGCCTTCCTGACCTTCGGAGGGTCCAGCCAGCATCGACCTGCCGAGGTGGTGTCCATGCCGAGGGGTGAAGGTGTCCTCGGACTCCGGTTTCTGAATCTTTCTGAGAGAGTTTGGAGGATTGGGCGCAGGCTGGTGATGGTTTAAATTGAGATGTCCATGTCAGAGGAAAGGGAAAAAAGAACGAACAGGTGATGACTGGTGAGGTATGGACGTACTACGGTTTAATAACAACGTTTTCGCGAGTCCACGAGACAAAGTGAGAGTTGCAAAATGGAACGTCGACTTCTAACGCTGTCTGTGAGGATCCTCCGTGTCTGTGAGGATCCGAAGAACTGACATCGTGTCAAGAGTAGGGAATGGGAGCAGGCTGTCGGATGTGGCCCAAAGCGACCGAAGCCTATTATCTACTGTAACAATGTAGACTCTTGATTGATATACCCACCTCATTTGGATTGAAAAACATCGATAGTGATTAATTAAGAGTCTCCGTTATGGGATCAAAAGGGCATGAAAGGAACACTTACTTCTAAATCCCAAACAACACAAATAACAAATTTAGAATTGACTCTGTGGCTCGATCAATCGTGTGAGTCACCGGCGGTGGTTACCTCCTTCGGACAAGTACTTATATAGTATATAAGTACTTCGAGGCCGAAACCCACGAGCTCCAATATAACAAGTCAACTTTTCAACCTCCAAAGCCTCCAATCCCTGCGACTCACATTCTGAGTCGTCCGACTGCAGGTCCCCCGAAGAAAAACCAAAAAACGAAACAACAACACATCCGGCCTTTCTCAACACCTTTGGTCAGTCGATCCAAAATGACCTATGCGCGACACGTCGCACGGGCGCCACTCGTCGTTGAGCGAGGCCGGTGGTCGCATGAAACGATGGCCCCTTTCAGTTGAAGACCTCTTCTTGAGGACGCACTGAATTGTCAAAACCTTATACAGAATCCCGGTTGTAGGGAATTTGGAACGGTGCAACTCATAAATACCTGCCTGAAAATCAGGCGACGACCCCAATAAAAATACCTGGGCTTTTAGAGCCTCAGCAACAATGGCACGGACCGAAATGGTGGATCCGCCCCTCCCCCTTCAAACCCGCACGAACCTGGGGGGATGGAAGCAATGCCTCCAAACTAAGAGCAATGGCCTCCAACCTAGTAGCAAAAGGAATCTAATAGCGATGACCTCCAAGCTAGAAGCGATGGCCTCCAACCTAAAAGCGATGGCCTCCAACCTGACAGCTCCAATGGATCCGATTTCGGATGACAATTTTCCACTACAAACCAGGTGGTGCCATCCACCTCCCAGGAAGTAGTTTTCGGATTGTAGGCCTGGAAAGCAAAGAGATCGACCCCCAAAAAACCAGCTCAGTGGCCTGTGGTGACAAAGCCACCAGGTCGTTCCAATTTGCCGGCAGGGCTGGGCTTGGCTCGGAGCCTGGGCGGTGGGAGGTCGTCAGGGATGGGCTTGTCTCACATGAGGAACCCCCTCTTCTCGCCTCCATACATTGGCTCATCCGTTAACGATACTCATGCAAACCGGAAATTTGTTGAATCAATTGCACTTTGGACATCTCATTCATCCGAATTACTACCAAGCTGAATTGCTCCGTGGGTGCCTACGGGCAGCTTGCCAAGGGCAAGAAGCTTGAGATCAAGACGTAGAAGCAACAATAAATCATATGAGTCATATGAGCATATGGACGCCTCCAGGGTCCATTTTGAGCGTTGCAAGTGTTCTCGACCACTCCTCTCCTCTTCAATCGTCGTCAGGATATTGGCTCTCTCCTGCTTATTTTGTTGCCTCTAGCTGGGCAATACGCATCCGGAGTTCTTGATGGGTTCTCTCCCTTGCCTCATCAAGCTGCATATGAAATGTCCTCTTGGAGCCGTTGGTTTTACCAGGCCAGCGAGGCGATCATATGGGTCAGCTTGAAAAGGCCAGCATGCAAAGACTGCCCGGTTTCCTGTTCTTCTCATCCACCTGAACCCTAAAGGGTGGAGCATCACCATCTAAAGCATCTCATGGGCAAATTGTCCCGAAAAGGTCTTCAAGGATGGAATGCCCATTCGCAGGCCCAGCAGTCCTTCCAGTTGAAGTGCCATCTTTCAGGGAAGCTGGCCCCACCAGAAAGAGCTCCAACCAACTCGATCTTAACTAAAATGGGTGGTTTCCATCGATTGATCATTCCAAATCATTCCACCATATTCATGCTGCATGTTTCAGCTATCAAGGTTTTTCACATCACAAAGTCTGAAACCCAAAAGCTTGCATCAGTTCCAGTTCCTGTTCAATTCAGCCGGACCTGCACTCCTGGCCGCCGAGTGGCGCGAGTGGCGCCGAGCGCCAGAGCTCCGCCGCTCTGCGGCGCTGCTGCTGGACCGGCGACGGCTGGGCCCTGATGGCTCGGCCTGGAACGGCCGCGCCGTGCGAAGCACGGTGACTGGGTGGGTCGATGGAAGCACGGAACAGGATCATAGGCCAAGGAAAAGGTATTGAAAACAAGTCATCATTACTTTTATATATGAATTATATGTGACTTCGATGGGGAAATGGGTCATGATATCTTGTAGAGCGAGTTCATGTTTGGTGAGTTAGAGTGGAAATACATGCACATGCCATATTACCCATGACGGAGCTGTGGCAAATATTTCCCCAAGTCCTCTTGGTTTGAAGCTAACATCGCCAGTGTTGAGGTTCAGCATCCTCAAAGCTCTGCGTTCCATTTCGGTGCCCTTCAAACCTCGGTGAGGTTTGCCAACTCACCCCAAGCTGATGGCACCATCACTCACCAAGCAAGGGAACCAACTGGCATTGCCATCATTGTTGAACAAAGGGGCCTTAATCCAGATGCAGTACTTTCGCCCAAGCTCTCTACCTCTCTCTCCCCCTCTCTCTCATCGCTGACCTTTGCCTCGCTTTGCGCCTGTGGCCTAGGCGCAGCAGCCACACTGAGACAATGCACATATGAACTACAAAATCATCAAGTTGGTAAAATGATCTTGAGATCCAAATACCATCTCTCTCATTGACCCCTTTTCCAACAGCCAGCACAGCCATGGGGAACAATCCAAGAAAGTCATCATCTCCCCGTCCCCTGCTCACTGTTTTCAGACGGTTTCCTTTGCGAAAAGCGTGGACGTTCTTCGAGGCGAAAAGCGTGATCTTTCTGAACACTAGGAGTTATTTGGACAACGGTGCAAGTCTGGACAGCTCATCGGCAACCCCGAAAAAAATCCCAAAGGGGAACTTTTCGCCATACTCAGCCGCCATGTTTCGACCTGGTGGCCAGTTCCTCCAAGAGGTGTCTGTATATAAATAAGGTCCTGGTCATGAAAGCTGCTGGGGTTCCATGCGCTGCTCCGCTTTCCTGCACTCCGCCCGTTCGCCAACATCCCAGCTTTCATCCCAAATAGGTATTGATGCTGGTCGCAGCTCAAAAGCAAGCGTTTGCCAGCTGGATTTTGTCTATTTGCAAGATAGGGTGGGAATAAACTTGAATAACCACTAATAAACGGCCGTAGTAACGAAACCAAATAATAGGCTGCGGAACAACCGCAAGAAACATCAATAAACACTATCTAAATGGTGTGTTGATGTTTCTCTTTGTTGCAGTTGCAGCCCCCGAAACATGGCTGGCAAAATTGTTTCATGTGCAAGTTTCAATATCCACTACAAAGGAGCCACGCTCAAGACACGCTCTCCCTACACAGTGATGGCACAACCAGTTTCCCTCCCAAAAAGCCTCCAGGAAATTGTGTGAATCATGCTCTCGTGGACGGGTAGTCTATCACAGTCTCAGTCTGTCGGTCAGTATACTTCTATTGTATAAACACTAGCAGCATTCTTATAGTTGTTTGGTTTGTAGATGTTTCTGCTTGTTGCAGTGACAGCTCCTGCCCCAAAAAAAAATCACCTAGGACATATATATGATCAGATCCAAAGCATGGGGATGCTCCCAGCAAACACCAAGAAAGCCTTCTCTTTCCCCGCAGCTCTTCTCAGCCACGCAGCTGTGCGGCCTCGACACGCCCGGCGCGAGCGCGGAGCTCCCGGCTCATGGCGCCAAAGCTGGAGGCACGGATCATGGCCTCAGGATATTCTTGCAAGAATTCGGAGTTCCTCTTTCCCTTCCCTTCCGGAGCGTGGAGCGGATTTGAGTGGCACTGATCATATAGAACCTTCGGATGCTTGCGATTCCACGTGCACATACTTGCTTGCGAAGGTGGGGCTGGGGTGCTCGGTGGAACCTCGAAGGACCTCCCATATCCGCTTCAGGTGTCTGGGGATGTTCCCACGGAGACCGCATTCAGCGGGTTGAGCAGTGGGATGTGATACTTAACTCTGAAAACATCTGAAAACCATGCAATGGTATGAAACATGAGTACAGAGAGCCAGGAACAAAAAAGAACACATAAACAAAACACATGGACCCAGCTGGGCTTAGCCTTCCAGGATTTGGAACTTCTCATGAGGTTTGTGTTTGGTACATTGAGCGACTCAAACGGAAACACGGAAACACTGGCTCGGGTCTGCTTGTCCGATTGTCCCGGATTTCACCAATTTGGCTCAGTATCAGCAAGAACACGTCACACCAACACCGATACTTCATCACATTCTGCTTGACCAGGTGGTAACAGGTAACAGTCCATGCGGCTCGTTTTGGGGTTCCCAGCACCGGCGTTCCGCTGCTGGGAAGCCATGGCGGCGTTCCGCCAGGCTTAGGCGTAACTCCTCAGGTACTGGGGTACTTGGGATATGTCTCAGTCCCAAACATCCAAAGGATTATGATAGAACATGACATCCCCCATGGAACGAGCCAATCCCCCCTTCCTTCGTGGCGAAGGAATTTCAGGGCTGGGAGACATCCCCCCAACAAACCACCTTCTCCATATATGGTTCCATCTCAAATCATCCCATAGTCCATCCAAAATGACCGGAGGTCATGTGTGGTGTTCTTCCAAGGAGATGATTTGGCCAATCCAAGGCCGCATATGTTGCAACTCTTCCAATTTGTCATGACAATGACATGTCTTCTTGTCCATACCTCAAGTGTCAAAAAGCCTCTGAGCTTGTTGATTTTTTGCGAAGGGTCTTTCCCTTAAGTGTCTTGATTGCCCTTGGATTGGTCAGACCTCTGCATCAGTATGTAGAGACAGGTTTGTGTTTTAGCTCCACCATGTGATGTCGTGCCATGTTGGTGAAGCCCTCTTCACTGCCACATGCCATGAAGTTTCGCTTCGTCACAGGACAGCTGCTGCCCAAAGCCGCGCGGAACCAAGTCATGTTGAACAAAGCTCCACTTGGATTAGCTGTGTGCTTGATGGCACTCAGCAAACCCTCCCCAAGTTGACAAAGAACTCAGCCTCAAACAATGCCTCATGTTCACGACATGCACCTTTTTTCTAAAACATGAAGCAAGGCCCTGTTGCTAATGCATTGTTTTCCACAAAACGAAACCAACCCGCCTGGGTCCTAGCTTAGCTGGGACATGCACAAAGCTGAAGATTCACCCCCCATGGTCCATGGTACAGTATGAAGACTTCATAACCACGGACCATGCAATGAACAGTGTTCAGCCCACAACCTCTCAACAGGATGCTTCGGTTTTGATGGATCATGTGAATGACATAAGCTGATTCTGCAGCAACATCTCGCAACTCGCAGCGGATCATAGCGGCGACTTGCGTCGCTTCGGCTCGTGGTCGATGTTGTTTCCGATCGAGGCCACGCGAGACACGGCTCCCACGCGAGACACGGTTCCCACGCGAGACACGGCTCCCTCACTTAAATCAACTAAAACACCGCCCGGAAGTGGAATTTGGTCGTTCCCACCGATTCATTCCAAAAGTGTGCCGGTCGTAAAAACGGGAAGAGGTGTAAAGACTGAGAAGTAAGGCGGCGAACACAAAATGAAAAGTATGAAACGCGTCGGATGATGTTTTGGTGAACATGGGCTAACATTTAAACACCCCCACAAGATTCGTGAAAGGCCTTGACTGCTGAGCGCAGGACAGAAACTCTGAATTCTGCAGGGTGGTCAGGTTCCACTTCCATGTTTGTATTCTTGTGACTCTCACCAAAGCGAAGCCTCTGAATCACAAAACCCAACAATTCAACTTTGGCCTTGCGAAGCGCTTCATGTTGGCTGACTTATTCAAACAAAGAGATGTACGTTTAAAAACCGTTCAATATCATATGCGTTACACATAGTATGCATACTATTTACTATATACGCACAAAGCGGTGCAACATATCTAAATCTTGATTTCCTGGAAAAATAATGCATTCCACCACTAGGCATACTGTGAAAGTCAACTAGCTAAACTGGGTGCCCATATGCTGAGTTTCGTGGTCCTCAGATTGCATTTTTAGGATATAAACTGCGGTTTGCTGAGGAGAAGCTGGCATACTATCTAATTGATCACTCTTCCGTTCATAGATGAGTTCTTTTGGCTGCTCTTAGGCCTTTCCCGACTGAAAGCTTGTTGAATTAGTATCCACTGTGCTACACATCGCTGCAATTGAAGCCGGTTGGAAAGCATTTGATTAATCTGTCGGAGGGGCTGGCACGACAAGACTTGGTCAAAACGAGCATGTTCTCTAATAGACCGGTAGCATTGTTTGTTGGTCCCGATAACAAGCTGTTGACATGTCTGCGGTGGCGAACGTCAGCGCGACTCAGCTGCAGGAAGCGCGGCAAAGGGAGGTTTAAGGGAGGTATCATGAGAACAACCGTGAATCAAAAAGCGGAAAAGGAGGGTAACAGCTTGTGAAGCACTCTGCAGGTACATGGTTGAGCGTCCTCAACCACTTCCCTTCCAGTGACCCAGCTTCGTTGGATCAGGTTAGTCGCTGGAAGCCTGATCCCCCTGCTGGAAACGCGAGAGAAGGAACCCTTCGGAACAGGGCTGGACACACACACGGTGCCGCTTGGCGGCGCTCGCGTGAGAAGCCTGAATAGATACCTAAAAAGCCTTAGAAACGAAAGAAAGACAGAAAGAGCAGCGCTAAAAGGGCAAGAGAGAAAGATAGGTGTAGAAAAATGAAAAATGAATACTTAGCCCTTGACTGGGGTAGGGAAACGAGCCTCAAGAGCCACCTAAAAAGCCTGAGAGAAAGCCCAACAAACGACGAAAAGCGCAGGGAATGTATGTCCATGTGTGTGTGTGTGTGTCTTTGAATACCTAGCACTCTAGAATTATTGAATACTTAGACGAAGAGAATTAGGTGCACTAGTTAGGGAGCGGGACTTTTGTCTTACACCGCCCGGGTAGAGTAGACTAGAAAAGGGACAACAGAGGGAAAGGCACCGACACACAAGTGTGTCGAGTACCATTTCCCTATGTTACCCTAATTAGGTAGGGAGTAGAACACATTGGGGGGTCGGGAGACCTGCCTCAAGTGGGGGGAAAAACCGTTTTTAAGCCCGGCGGCTATCAAATTCGTTTTTAAGCCCGACGGCTGTAAGATCAGTGAATTCAGGGTGGAGAAGGAGCGGTGAGGAGAAGTCAATGCAAACGGCGCCTCCTTGCGGAGGATCACACCCAGCACCCATGTGGGACGGCTGAGCGGCTCACACTCTGACATTGGTTTTCAGTTAGCTCAATTTCCAGGAAAGTGGCGATGGAACGGAAAGGTGAGAGGGTCAGTGCACTTGTATGGTTTCAACAATCTGTTGACATGTCTGCGGTGGCGATCGTCAGCGCGACTCAGCTGCAGGAAGCGCGGCAAAGGGAGGTTTAAGGGAGGTATCATGAGAACAACCGTGAATCAAAAAGCGGAAAAGGAGGGTAACAGCTTGTGAAGCACTCTGCAGGTACATGGTTGAGCGTCCTCAACCACTTCCCTTCCAGTGACCCAGCTTCAACGTTGGATCAGGTTAGTCACTGGAAGCCTGATCTCCCTGCTGGAAACGCGAGAGAAGGAACCCTTCGGAACAGGGCTGGACACACACTCTGACATTGGTTTTCAGTTAGACTCAATTGCCACGATGGGAAGGAAGGTGAGGGAACAGAAAAAGTGCATGGGTCAGCAAAACAGTATTGTTGAAAAATGTTGGCACTTCCTGACGATCAAATCAGCGGCGCAGCTGCTGGGGACGAGTAGGTTTGGGGGAAAGTATCATGAACCGCCATGAAAACAAAAAAGGAAAGATTGGAGTAACAGCTTGTGAACAAGTTCCGCAGGTACACAGTCAGACGTCTCTGACTGCTTCCCTCGACACACCATAGCTTCGTTGCGTCAGGTAGGTGTGTCGAGCCTGACGCCCCTGCTTGTGTGGAAAGTGGGAGTGATTGGAAAACCCTTAGAAAAAGGGTGTGACACACACACGGTGCCGCTTCGCGGCGCTCGTGTGGGAGGCCTAAATAGACACCTAAAAAGCCTTAGAAACGAAAGGAAAGAAAGACAGAAAGAGCAGCGCTAAAAGGGCAAGAAAGAAAGGTAGGTGTAGAAAAAGTGAATACTTAGCCCTTGACTGGGGTAGGGAAACAAGCCTCAAGAGCGACCTAAAAAGCCTGAGAGAAAGCCCAACAAACGAAGAAAAGCGCAAGAAGGAAAGTGGGGGGGCAGGGAGGGGGTGTATGTCCATGTGTGTGTGTATGAATACTTAGCCCTCTAGAATTACTGAATACTTAGCGGAAACGAATTAAATGCAGTAGTTAGGGAGCGGGACTTTAGTCTTAAACCGCCCGGGTAGAGAAGACTAGAACAGGAACAACACAGGGAAAGGTACCGACACACAAGTGTGTCGAGTACCATTTCCCTATGTTGCCCTAATTAGGTGGGGAGTAGAACTCGGCTGGGGGGGGGGGTTGGGAAACCTGCCTGATTGCGGGTGGAGTACCGTTTTATAGCCCGGCGGCTCTGGATTCTGTGGTTGAGTGGATTCCATCGTTTATAGCCCGGCGGCTCGAAGTTCCGTTAATTCAGTTATGAAAGTGAAGCGGGGATACAGTTATAAATATGAAGGGCCAGTGAATTCCGGAATGGTTTCGGCGCCTCCTTTCGGAGGATCACATTCAGCACCCAAGTGGGAAGACTGAGCGGCTCACACTCTGACATTGGTTTTCAGTTAGACTCAATTGCCACGATGGGGAGGAAGGTGAGGGAACAGAAAAAGTGCATGGGTCAGCAAAACAGTATTGTTGAAAACTGTTGGCACTTCCTGACGATCAAATCAGCGGCGCAGCTGCTGGGGACGAGTAGGTTTGGGGGAAAGTATCATGAACCGCCATGAAAACAAAAAAGGAAAGATTGGAGTAACAGCTTGTGAACAAGTTCAGCAGGTACACAGTCAGACGTCTCTGACTGCTTCCCTCGACACACCATAGCTTCGTTGCGTCAGGTAGGTGTGTCGAGCCTGACGCCCCTGCTTGTGTGGAAAGTGGGAGTGATTGGAAAACCCTTAGAAACAGGGTGTGACACACACACACACATGCTTTATGCTCTGTTAGATTCTGTTAGCTGTTAGCACTTTATCCCTCAGTTTGCTACAAACATGCGCCCAACAAGGCTGCAGGTTATGAGGCCAGGGAGTTCGAGTTTAATTAATCCAGCCACTACCTTCAAGCAATGATGGAGTTAGCTCGCGCCCAGCTAATGTCGCTTCAAACCAACGAAAAATCTTGATTTCAAGTATGCAAGGCAAAGATATGCAAAGTACATATTCTGTAGAACTTACTCTGGTCAGCAAACCGTAACCACATAGACCAGAAATTTATCTAGAAACAAGCATGCACCTACAATTTACTGGGATCCTGATTAACATCTCAGTGCTTCTTGCTGACATGCCGCACAAGAAATTGAGACCTTCAAGCGTTTTGAGGCGTCTGAGTCTAATTACTTGCCCCAAGAACCCGAAAATGATATGAGAAGCCACTCTAAGATTTGCAAGGTTGTTCAGTTCTTCATAATAACCGGGGACGTGTACCCCGCAAGCGAGGCTTCCTCTTTGTTGAGGCCGTCAATCCACTCACCACCTCCGCCGGACGAAGAGACATGGCGGCAGCCTGGCGGACAGGGCGATTCCACCTGGAGCCCACAGATCCTCTGACAAAGGTCTTTAAAGTCTTTGGTGTATGTGTTGTTCTATTTTATGCTTTTGTTTTAAATCGTGCACTCACAAGTGCAGCAGGTCTCGCTGTGGGGTGTCAGCGTTGCAGAGACGCACCACCTAAAACAAGCAAACAAACCATCGGGGCCCGGGGGTATGTTATATACGAGTTAAATCGATTGAGAGGGTCCGACATGGTGAACAACTGCTTTCAGATTTCAGAGAAAACCTGTTGAATCTGGGGGTGCAGCTTGGTGATCCTTTATTTCACCGCAGTCCCATGCAGTCCCCCTTTGTCCGACCCCCATCGCCCGATGCGGTCGATGAACCACGCCTTTGAGTGGCACCTTAAACCTGGCGGAGCAAATCCACGCCACCCTGCAGCAGCATGTTCACTGCCTGTAGCCGCATTGCAGGCGGGAGGCAGCAAATCGGTTTTTGAATGTTTTTGATCACACCTTTCAAACCCATCTATGAGGTGCGAAAACACACCCAACAAGTCGCACAGTCCTTTGGCACAGTCCTTTGGATAGACAACTGCTTGGTGGTGAGGGAACTCATGTCACCTCAGTTGTTTTTTGAGAGATGTCTCAGAAATCAAAAGATACAAAAGGTTGGGACCACCCGCAATGCTCTCTAGCACCAGCCCCCTCCAAGCAAGCTTGGTTTGTTTCGGCAAAGTGCTAGTCTGCCAAGTTCTTTCAACAAGTAGATGGCATCTTCCCAAGAGGGTCTAGAAGAACATCCCCATCTGCCACCCCGTGCTACTGCTACTACTACTACTACTAGTAGTACTAGTACTATCACTACTACTGCTGCGGCTACCACTACTACTACTACTACTGCTACTACTACTACTACTACTGCTGCTACTGCTACTTCTACTGCTGCTACTCCTACTGCTACTACTACTACTACTACTAATACTAATACTATTACTGCTACTACTTCTACTACTACTGCTGCTACTACTACTGCTACTACTTCTACTTCTGCTTCTGCTTCTGCTTCTGCTACTCCTACTACTACTACTACTAATACTAAATGTGTCATCTTCTCGAGCCCAGCAACCGGTCGCACACCGCTCGACGGGTTCCGCGCGCGGAGATCGTCGGGTCGCCATGGATGTTCCCCACCTTCAGGACTTCCGGTGGACAGCCTGCAGAGGCCTCGCCCAAGCGTCGGAACCACGTCTTCTTCTTCTTCTTCTTTGGGATTGGATTTTATAACTGATGGGATGTTGAAATGTGGCTCGGTGATCAGGGCCATGATCACATGATCACACACTAGTTGTCTGAATAATCCGAGTACCAAAGAACCCTTAGGTCCATATATAATATGGATGTCTATAGAGCCTTGATCGTGTCAACCTGATCTTGATTCACCAGGATAGAAGTGAAGTCCCTCAGTTTTTCTATCGAAACACGTTCTGCTTGCCAAACAAACAAAAAAGGGGCCTGATCAAACATGCCAACGAAGGGCGTTCAGAACGGCAGCGACTTGTCAAAGTACCAACATAATTTTGGCTTTGAGATGCATGGGGGCGCCCCCAAGAAGATACTTGTCATCATGGGTCTCACACTAAAGAACAGCTAGGAGACGCTGGTCTAGCAACCAACCTGACCGAGACGGCGGTCAAGCCAGCTCCTCTTGCCTTCAACTTGAGTCTCGCCAACGTTTCTTCGCAAATCGCCTGAGCCACGTGTCGGCGAAGCGACGGCTAAAAAGCGTAAACATCATGGAGCAAGAGGCGAAGCCGGCTAGGCCATTCGTGCCAAATGCGGGTGGGTCAAGCAGCCACTGCGAAGACCCAACCTCTTCACTTCATAGCTTCCTCCATGCAAGAGAGTGTGTATACTAAAGCTACATTCCGAAATGTTCTTCCATGCGCCCATGCGGGCCGTGCCGGCCGTGCCCCCCTCGACCAGGAACCACCCTCATTGGCGGAAGTCCTCTCATCAGCTCATCAGGACCAAAACCGCAAGCATCTGTTGGGAAACATGGGAGTGGACTTGAAACTTCAAGCGACTAGTGAGATCAAACAATATCAAACAATCAACTGACTCAAACTGGACTTAAATCAAGTGAACAGTGGACATCAGTGCACTTAATATTAACTGAACTCAACCTGATTAAACCGTCCAAAAGTCGACTGTGGCTGCTCCCTCTCTCCAAACGCCGCCAGGGGGCCATCTGTTTCACCCGCTGCACCTGTGGCATGCACAACCTGAGAGGGAACGACGAACCCCGCGCGACATGGGACCGAATAAAAGGGAACGACGCACAATCCCTGGAAACATCATCGAAGCAAAGTTCACCACCTGAGGCGGTGCTTTTCTTTCGCAAAGACTATACGTTAGTTTCATAGCCCTATTCATTCTTTACTTGGGAGTTCTGGACGCTGCTCACCTGTCTCTGGGTTTCGGATGTCATGCGTCAACCTGTCGGTCCTCCGAACGAGCCATCATCGCCACGTCCAGGGAGTGCTTGGAAGAAAAACACACACATCTGAGAGGCCAATTTACAGGTGCGCCCAGCGCCGAAACCCGGGTTCCTGGAAACTCGGACCCTGGGGCTCCGGTGAATCACAAAAGAAAGATCCGGGCCAGAGGATGCAAAGAGTGAATTTGATGGTCTATAGGAACAACAGATCTGGAAGGTGACTCCTCCAACTACCAGTTTTCTTAGCTCGATGCCGTCGGCGATCTGTGAAAGCATGTGAAACCCAGATTTTGTCCAAGGGTTGGCAACCCCAAAGCAAACTGTTTTGGGGGCAATTTGCTGGGACGTGTCCATAACCTGAAGGAGCTGGTGGAAAGTAATGACCAGGTCGGCGACGAGAGGTGGAAGCCCTGCCACTTCTTGCGCCACCTTCTGGCGACACGCACATTCCTGTCATCTTCTGGCATTTGGACCCTCAAACAAGAAAGCTCAGTCATGTGATGTCCAGGTTCACCTGGCTCAGTCTGTGTCCAGTCACCCTCCTTGGGGGCCCACGTTCGCGTCTTTGCGCTGCTGCAGGGTCCGGCAAACCTTAGGCAGCAGTGTGGCCAGAGCAGTTGGAGAGCCAAGACGTAATGGGATGGGTGTTTGCTTGCAGCTAACACATTCTTATTTTAGAACTTCTGGACCTGTCCAGCGGCCTGAGCGGATTGACATGGCAAATCAAGCATGTCTGATTTACCTACATCAGTTCATGATGTTTGCCTCTCACTGTTGCTAGATGTCCTCAGGTCCAGTGAATGTAGTGGCGAGTTTGAGTGCTATTCCTCTACCGCTGTTGCATTTCTGATATCCCTTGCAAATGGCTTCCAGGCTTGAATGAATGGCCACCCAATATGAATGGCCCAAAATGCAGTCCTTCTTCAGACCATCACGGAACCCTTCAAAGGGCAACAGTCCTTTTTCATGGCCGTCTTACCTTGCTTCATGTCCATCCCAAAGTGACAAGCGTTCTAAAGAACAAAACTCCTGGTCATGGTCCGGTTTCTATTGAAAAAGGAAACCATGATGTTCACGTTGTGTGCTAGTAGATCTGTCTCCTTCCACAGGTCCCCTTCCATAATTTAGCTCTCTCAATAGTTGATGATCTTCTTGTACTTTGTTGAGCCTGGTTGCCTCCACCGAATTGTTGGAATGCTACAGCCACAGTACCTCCCCATTGAAGGAGCTGGAGTTTCAAGTCTTCGAACTGGTCTTCAAAGCCTCCGCAACCAACACCGACACCCCCCAAATCTGCCGCTCAGATGCTGTATCGGCCCAGGGCTGATGACTGTCCGCTCTTCCCTCGAAGGAGTGAAGCCAGGGAGGAGTTAGGGCCATTGGGACATGTCGTCCTTCCCCCTGAACCATTATACGTATAGCCTTTGGTCCTGCAAGCTGGGCCACAGAAGGGTGATGTTGTCTATGAGTCTATCATATTATGTCTAAATGGTGGTCGGTTGAGCCATTCCTGGTCATTCCTGGGTGAATCTTAGGTGATGTTTGAGTTCTTGAGTCATCGGGATGGACTTTGATTGATTCAACTCTTCACCAAGAATTCCTGTGCCAGTGCCAGTGTCTAAGAGGTGGCGGCATGGTCCAACAATCTTCCATGAATCTGTGTGAGCACAGGAGCTCCATCATAGCCAGCAGCCAAGCTTGGAGCTCCAATCCGAGAACAGCCAGCATCCCTCATATAACCACATTCAAACATATGATACTCGTCCTAGACGCGAAGGCTGAGATAAAACCACCCGCCCAGTCACACTCACTTTTCTCCGGAACGCAATGCTGGAAAACACCTGGTCAGCCGGTGAAAGCCGAGCGTTGTGAGACATGCACAAAATGACCAAGATGTAGTGCCCTTCGCCTTAAAACACCATCTGAAGCACCTATACAGCCTATACATCGATGTCTATCTGCAACAATATCATTGCAACAAAGTCATCCTTGGGCGGCAAAAGGGAGCACTGTCAGGAGTTGAGCCCGGTCAGCCATGAGGGCCTTCCGGAAGTATGGCCGTATGGCCAGGCCCCTGCATTTTCAACACACTGTCAGGTGTTGATATACAGTAATGCGATTTCAACGAGGGCCAAGCCACGCCACAGCTCGCCACAGCTTAGAGGGATGTGTTGGTCAGAGCCGCAAGCTGTGCCATAAGCCTCAGGTGTGCTGAAGACACTCGGTGTCATCATGGAAGTGGAGTTCACCACTGTCATCCCCGCGGGGCCCGCCCATGATCATGGGCGATGGTCCACTTATGATCATTCTGGGGAGTGTTTTTGTGGGGTTCAGGATGCTTTAAGTCATGATGATTCGGTACTTGGAGCATTGGAGAACACCAACAGTCATACGCCCCTGGTGGGCTAAGCCCCTTTTGGTGACTGGGGCATAGGTTGGGAAACCACCAGGATGTAACAAACATGAGGACTTCATCCAGTGGTTTTGGACGGGGACAGGGGGATGGCAAATTCAATAACCGCGCTGCTTTGCTTGTTCAACCGCAGAACGCACACAAACTCATGTCTGCAGCTGCCAAATTGGGCTGTGCACACCATCGCCACACTCCCAGGAAAAAAAACAAACGCAGCATGCACCTGCTGGGTATATTCCCTTTCTGGGTGTGATACCTCCAACCTACTCCCAGCACACCACCCTCCTCTTATGCACCAGTGCCACATGTGCCACCGCTGCAGCCGCACCAGCGGTCAGGCGCTCGCCTAGGCTGTCCACTCTTCCATGGGCCGTCCCTCGGAGATCGCCTTTCGGATCATCGCCTGAAGATTGGCCTGGGCAGTTGAACATGCCAAAGTGAGCTTCTTTCGAAGAGTTGCGGACCTGTTATAAAAATCCACCCATCTGGCCATGAACATGAGATATCATTTCAGCATATTTCAGCTGTATTATATACATTGCCACTTCAACATCCATGTCTCCTTTCCTACCCGCCCCTCCACACCCGTTCCACCACGGCCCGCCTGCAGCTCGCGGCGCACGCGCTCGGCGCCCGACTGCAACGCCTCGGCGGCGGCCTTGCCGTGAAGGCCAACGGCCTCCGGGCAGCCCTCGCCGTGCTCCGGCGCTTCCATGCCTCGGTCGCGGATGGACGGATGGACGGGAATGGACTCGATGGACCGGAAGGTGGTGGGAACGGTGGGATGGAAGGGAGTGCGTCGTCTGGTAGGGTTTGTTGGATGAATTGGATGGATGGTCCAAAAGGTTGCCGGCCACTGGGGCGTGGATGATAGATGTATCAATGAGACATCTATCATAGGATGCAATTGATTCTTGGAGAGGAGTGAGCGATGCATCAATGTTAGCGAACACCCAAAAATGTTGCTGTAGATTGTTGAACCTCCATGCGTATCCATCCATGTATTGTGTGCATGTGTTGTTTCTTTTTTCCCCTCAACATTGATACCCTCAAACCAGTTATATATTTATATAAAGAGTATATCGAGGTGACGTAACGCTTGAAGTACATGGAATTCTCCAGGTTTAGGGCACCAAAAAGGCATCAGCAAACATGATAGAAAATGTCAAAATGCATTTATTTCACCAAACAACGGGAACGAAATCTCAACACTGAGCTCAAACATAGACAAGCATCCTTTAGGCTGAGGAATGAAGGGATCCGGATCCCTGGGCTTCACCTTCGCACCCCCTCCTCCTCTTTCTCCTCTTTCTCCTCTTTCTCCCCCTCCTCCTCCTCCTCCTCCCTGTCCTCGATCCCGGCTATCCCTCCGCCGGTCATCCCGGCCCTCCCGCCTCTCTCGGCCATCCCTCCGGTCGTCCCTCCGGTCGTCCCTCCGGTCATCTCGACGCCCATCCCGGCGGTCGTAGCCCCGGCGGTCGTCGCGACGCGGGGAGCGCTCGCGGTCGCGGCGCGGGTCGCCCCGATCGTTGCGATCGCCGCGGCCACGGTCATCCCCGCGGCCACGGTCATCCCCACGGCCACGGTCATCCCCGCGGCCACGTTCATTGCCTTTGCCACCTTCCTTGCCTTCGTTCTGCATGCGTTCCAGATAACTGCCCTTACCTGGACGCCCTGGAGGGCCTAAAGGCTCCCCATTGGCCATCTTCTTCATGATCATCATAGCAGTGGCAGAAGGTTTGCCGGAGCACTCGAAATGTCTCTCTAAGTCATAGTAGTACTCTTCTTGCTTCTCCTTAGAGCATCTTGCAAGAATATCTGAGATGCTGGTTTCCGCGGTCTTGTCTAGCTTGAACTTATCCACCAAGTACTTCATCCTCTTGTCCCGGTTTACTGCGACCTGGCACAACGGCAGCGTGGCCTCTTGCACAAAGGACTCTGCTTTTTGAAGAAACAAGCTCGTGTAAACTCAGCACTGGCTCGTGATGCAACAACAAGTCAGTGCAAACCCAGCCACAAATGTGCCATCTTCAATCTCCTTCATCTTGGTCACCAGCATTCCACAGGGGGAGCGTGCCTTTTCCATCACCTTCAAAACAAGAAAACAGTGGCAATGGACAGTGTTTGTTCTTTCAATCGGTAGGTCTCCTTCAAGTGGAGGTGTTCCAAAGGTAAATGAACCAACATGATGATTGTTGCTGCCTTATTTGCTTGCACTGTTCTCATTTTGGGTTGGAGTCCAAACAGTTTTGAACTCGTCAGCTCGTATTGTCTGATCTGGGTCTTGGTGGAAGGATCTGCGCGGCCTCTCTCAACTTCTTCAAGTCCTCGTCCCAAGTGTCTGTCCGCATCTTCATGAGCTCGTTAAGCTTCTCAATGTGCCTCTGCTCAACCTCAAGATGGGACAGCCCACAGCCCTGTCAAACCAGGGGCACGAGTGAAGCTGCACAGATCTGAAGAAAAACACAAACAAACAAAAACACACGCAGAGTTAAAGAGGCGCATCCAAAAACACAATAAGTGGATTTCGGAGCATAATATCCTCACGGGTGGCTGGCCTTACTTGGTAAACTCCCATCTATCAAGGTCTGAGAGGTTTGTACACTCGCAACATGTTAGTGTTTGTGTCTGGTTGGGTGCTGTCAACGTCACTTGCTTCATTTTAGTCCGTGGGTTCCAAAATCAGGTGGAGCATCATCTGAAAGCACCAAACACTTCCCATCGGACTGGCAGGACGGACTGCCGCCCCAGACAGACCCCCATGGCACCACCCCAACTGATCGGCAGTCCTATGGCAGTCCCATGGAGTGTTTGGGTTTGTATCATTTGTTGGTGAAGGATCCGTCGTCCAGCAGGCCCAGCCGTGTGGGCCACTGGAACAACCACGTATGGGCCACCCAGGTGCTGTTCACAGCAGTGGTACTCCCCTAGAGCTCCAGTCGTACCTCCTTAGAAGGTATTTGGACCCTCTAAACCCACCCCAGTCCCACCTTCTAAGAAGGTCCTTGGAGCCCTAGGCTTCATTCAACCTGGAAAACCGCCCTCCGACAAGTGAACTAGCGCAAAACTCCTGGGTGCAACTTGCACCGTGGAGTGTCGGGGCAGTTTTACTTGTTGCCTTCTACTACCCAAAAGTGTTGACCACTGTGTTGCACACAAATCCAACAAGTGAGGGGCCAATGGGAAACAGCAAATCTATGGGCCTAAACCTTGTACTACGAGAACACTAGGCAAATGATCTGAATCATGGTGGCCTGGCAGTTGTGTAGGGCGACGACTCGACGCACCTGGGGAAGGGTCAGAGCACTTGTGGAGGTTTGAGCACTTGGACAACCGTGAGGACTAAACCACTTAAACCATACTTAAGAGGTCAGGACGCATAGAAGGCGTCACACAGCTCCTGAATGTCTGGATGGATCCGGCCATGTTCCGAAATATACTCCGACTCGTTCTCCCCGCGCTTGGAGACGCCACATCTCCAGCAGTTGAACCTCGAGACGGCGAGTAGTCAAGGTTGGCCAGGGAATTCAGCCAGGTGGCGCGAAGGCGGCCCTTTGCAGTGGGTTCGGAGTAGATGGCACCATCTCCCAAGGTCGGTGGTTTAGTAGTGGAGCCCCACCTGATCTAAGACATGTAGGGGTGCCAGTGCCATCTACTCTGCAACCACTGCAGAGTGCCGTGCCGCAATCCTGACCAGTTTGGCCGCAGTGTTCAACACAGAAAACAGAATGACTCACAAAAGCAACTACTGTCCAATGTTCCAAAGATGCTAAACACATCGAGTTTTTGTGGGACATTGGACATCTTTGGCATTCTTGGTGCTTCGTCAGTGAGTCGCTCCATCCCGAGCGCCGGGTGTGTTCAGACTCTTCCGGACGCCTGACCGGAACCGCCGACTGAGTCCAAGCGACTTGGAGGCATAGACATTGGCCTCACAACGAGGACAGGTCCAATCACCGGGCTTGAGACCTGGCTTGATGACCCACTCCTTCTTGGCTCCTGCGCGGAAATTTCCCCAGAATGGTGGGAAAGCGGAGAGAAGCATGGTTGGGGAGGAGTTGTCTTTTTTTTGGGGGGGGGGAAGGTGGGGAGTGGGGGATGGTCATCATTGAAACAAAAAATTGGAAGACGTTGGTATGTTATCCCGTGACAGGGCGATGCCCGACTTCGAAGACAACAAGAGCTGAGTGGTCAAGTCATGCAGTCACCCACTTGATTACAGCCGTTCGTTCCACATGACAAACATGCTGAAAACTGGATGAATTTACTACACTCCCTCGAATCATCATGGCGATGGCGCCAGGCCCCAAACGGAAGACCGTGACATCGTATGAAATCCGAACTGTGGTGAATTTCATCGGCCCTACTCTGGGGGGGCTGAGTAGGTCACCACCTAACGCTGGCCCCATTGAATGTCCACTTCTTATGGGCATGCAAGTGGAAATTCCCCCATGGAATTCGAAGTCTAGAAGTGGATCCCCTTAGCGGAACGATTTCCACGAAAGAAAGCGTCTCCTTGCAGATTTCAGGCCGAGCGTCTGAAATCAAGTTCGATCCACCGAGCCCCCAGCCCCCAGCTCTCCTCCTGCTTCCCCCATCGAGCCGCCCTTCTCCGAGGCGGGTGCCGGTGGAGCGGGACCGCCCAACGCAGGCATCGGAGCCATCCCTGGCATGCCAGGCATCATGGCCTTGGGCAGGTTAGGCATCATAGCCTTGGTCGCAGCCAGGCCACGCCAAACCTGGCTCCTGGGCTCCAGGTTTTGACTCATCCCCATATGACAAAGCTTTCCCCTGATAGGTTGAACAGGCCACAATGGTGACAAAACTTCGGATCCTACAGCTATACCATGACCCCCCAAGGGGTGTCTATTTATAGCCCCTTAGCTGTTAAGGAATGTCCATTAACCACCCCTTGGGGGTTTTGGTGCAAAGTTACTTTTGTTGCCTAGAATTTCACCACTGACTTCGACTCCACTGCGGCCAACGCACAGCCATGGGATTGGCGTTCTGCATGGGAAACCTGAAAGATGGAGGTGAACGGTTCACCAGCAATGTGGGGAAAAGGGTGTTTCCAACAGGTCATTTTTCGGACGGGTGCCAGTGGCATGGTGCCAGTGCCAGCAAACCTGTTGGAAAATGATAGAACATAGTTGATTTCAGCTCGTGCCACGGATCTGCAAAACATGTAACATGCGACCGCAATGCGACCGAATGCGATCATGTTCTCCCTTGATGCCGACCTCATGCCTAGGTTCCAAACATCATGCCTGTTGCTTCCATCCCTATGAAGCCTATGCAGGCTTTTTGCATGATTGTACCAAAGTTTGACGCTTCACCTGGTTTCACGTGGCTGCTGCACCACCAGTAATTGAGGGATGGCTGATTGGAAAGCAAATGTGCTGTCAAGTCAAAGGAGTCAAAACCCCTTTGCAAGTGACTGTTCTATACTTTCCTATCTGGTGCAATCCAAGTCTTCTTGTTTGAGACTGGTTGGTTTCACCGGGCATCCGTGCATGCCCGGATTGGTCATGGCCATCATCTGCTGAAGGCGGGAAAACCTGAGCTTTCCATCGACCACGGATGCCAAGTACATCAAGGTGAGTGATACCGCTGAGAACTCAAGGTGCCTGACCTTTGGCTGGCCAAACGTCAGCTCCTTCTTAACGCATATGCGTTCCTCTCCAAACCACCGTCCCTTCGTGCGGGTCGATCTGCTTGCACCCACCAACACGCTGGCCATACCAAAAGGACAACGCCCAAACCAATGGTTTCTTGTTACTACAGTAGTAGCTTCTTGCTACTAGATGCTACTAGTAGTAATGCACTTGTTCCTAGTAGCAATGCACTAGCTTCTTGTTACTAAGCTCCCCACATCTCCCGCACTTTGATGTCCTTCAATCTCATTTGCCCGGTTTGTCTTGGTGTCTTGGGGGCAGTCTGTTGGCACGCCTCTACCCATAAATCTTCCTCAAACAGTTGTGGAAGTGGAAAACCAACAGCCTACCAAAAAGTGGCCGAGCCACGCGCTCCGGACATCTTGTAATCCGCCTTCTCCACCTTCCTCTGCCTCCTTCACCCCTTTCTGCTTCCGCCCCATGGCACTGACGGCACGGGCACCGGCACGCCGCGTGCGCCGTCAGAGGGCACTGTGTCAGCGATGGCGTTTGCTACTGAGTGGTGCCTTCCTTTCCGTTCGCTGAGTGGTGCCCAAGGAGTGCTTCCGGTCTTGAACTGAAAGAATACGACCCTTGAGCCTGAGTCAGGACCCAACACAAGGCCAAAGTAAACAACAACTCGAGAGCATGTAGGTTAGAGTTGTCGGCCTGTCGGTCAAAGAGTTGTCGGCCTGGAACAGCCTGGAACAGCCTGTAAACATGGTATGCTACTGGTCACTGGTCTTAACCCCCTTCCTTGAGGATTCCTCCCTCCAAGAGCCAGAAACCAGGAACATAGGATCAAGATGGATCCCAAACATTCAACACACATCCCCTGCTCTTCGTTGGATCCGTCCGCTCCAAAGATGGTCTTCAAACAACATCGATCCGGATGCCTCTCCACCCCCCCGGTGAACACCACATCGAACCCGAACCGGAACCGATTCGATTCGAACACCGTGCGATGACCCACTGAGACCCCCGTGCGGCTCAGGCATGCTGCGTTCATAGCTAATGTCATACAGCAGTCGGCTCCGGGGCCTCGGGATCCCCACACGGACGGACGGTCTGCTGAGGTCTGCAGACGTCGGCTCCGGCTCGGTGGGAGCCGCCAAAAGGGGTTCGACGAAGTCGGAGGCCGACTGCTGTCTGGAAGGTTCACGAAGTGATCCGATGTCATCCGTGTTTTTATGTCTAATATAGGTCCATGCAAGACTGGAAATTGAGGATCCGAAGTGGTAAAGTCCTCTTTGACGAAAGGTTACCTGCTCGAGAATCTGAGCTCATCTGAGCTCTCTGCTGGATGTAGTACTGTGCCGGGTTGACCAGCTCCTGGCCGCTTATTCTCTCACCGAGACCAGACTGTCTCTCGTGTCGTCTTGGACCCTGCTTTAATATTTTTTGGAAGGCCACCGAAGCATGAACATGAACAAGACCACCGGGGTTTTGTTCACCAACTCCGGGGTTTTGAGTTCCAGGTTTTGAACCCACTGTTTGAGTTCCTATCTCCACCGGTTTTTAGATGAAGGTTCACCCTCGTGGTCCACGCCTGAAAAAGGCAGGAACTTAATAACACTCTTTTAATTATACAGGAATGGTGCATTGAACTATACCATGTGGTGTGTGCCTGCACCTGTGCGGGTGTGTGAACCCCTCGCAACCAGTGATTTTGCAACTTCCAGGGGGATCCGGCTGGGGGTCACCACCCTATTGAACACCCCAATGGCTATCCATCGCTACGCATGGCTCCTGAGCCTCCTCATCCTTTTCATCGTGCTCTGTCTCACTGGGCTGCTTGGGCAATAAGGCCTCTCGCGATGGTCGAACAAAACGACGTCCAGTGGCGCTCTCTTCGGGGGGCAGCGAAGCTAGTCTATAGTCTTGTTTCTCAGGATCTTGGCGAGTCCCAAAAACACTCAGAACATCTCAAAACCCGACAAATCCCACGCTTCCAGGAGGTGTTGCAGCTAAACTCTTCAGGTTTATCCCTTTCCCAAGCCTGAATGGACTGATGGTCCCAATTCAATGGTGGCACATGTTTTTCCATTTGTTTCGCTGGGCCCTGGCTTCTTGCCATCTTGGCCCTGGCTTCCGTTCTCCGGCTGATCCATCCGAGCCAACGATTGGAATCCGTGTCCACTGACTGCACCATCTGCAAGTTCGGTATATCAATTGCTGGTGGACTTCGGTCGCATCCCTTCCGCCAAATCTGCTCGGAGACACAGACGGCCCCAGTGCCACGACAACGTGGTCGTGTCGTGGCCCCGGCTCTCGCTTTGTACAACGTTGCTTCGCTCCGATCGTCTCGGAGCCGCAAGATGAAGGCCAGCTGCTTAGCCCAGCTCCTCAGAACATCCACGAACGCATGATAAGGGACCTTCAAAGGGGTGCCCATATAAATGGAGAACGATGAGTGTTGATGTGTGTGTGTGTCAACCCCTGTACCTAAGGGTTCCGATGTTTCCAAGCAGGGGGACTGCCTGACTCTTAACAGCGGCAGTCCAACGAAGAGGCTGGTTTGAGTCACTGATATGGATTCTGGACGCAGAATCCACGTACCTGCTGGACAACTGTTGACCACGCTGTCCAATTTGATCGGTTTGTTTCATGGTCCTTCCACGTTTCTCCCCCTAAACCCACTTTCCTGCAGCCTGCAGCTGTGCTCGTCACCGCGCCGACTGTGCAGATCGATTTCGAGGCCACTTGGAAACAATGTTCAACCATACTGTTCTTGCTGACTCATGCGCCTTTTCGTTCCTTCACCTTCCTTCTCGACGTGGGAATTGAACTAACTGAAAACCAATGTCAGAGTGTGAACCGCTCAGCCGTCCCACTTGGGTGCTCGGTGTGATCCTCTGCAAGGAGGCGCCGTTCTCATGCCGGAAATCGTCTAACAGATTCATCGTTTTTCATCGTGAATCACCTTAACTACTGCCTTTGTCTCACTACTGAATTGTCGGAATCTAGAGCCGCCGGGCTTTCATGGATACCACAGCCGCCGGGCTAAAAAACGGAATTCAACCCACTTGAGGCAGGTCTCCCAACCCCCCCCACCGAGTTCTACTCCCCACCTATTTAGGGCAACACAGGGAAATGGTACTCGACACACTTGTGTGTCGGTGCCTTTCCCTTTGTTGTTCCTGTTCTAGTCTTCTCTACCCGGGCGGTCTAAGACTAAAGTCCCGCTCCCTAACTATTGCATTTAATTCGCCTCGGCTAAGTAGTCAGTAACTCTAGAGTGCTAAGTAGTCATACACACACACGGACACACACATGCTACATACACCCCTCCCTGCCCCCCTTTCTTTCTTACGCTTTCGGTTGTTTCTTGGGCTTTCTCTCAGGCTTTTTAGGTTGTTCTTGAGGCTCGTTTCCCTGCCCCAGTCAAGGGCTAAGTATTCACCTTTTTTCTACACTCTTTCTCTCTTGCCCTCTTAGCGCTGCTCTTTCTGTGTTTCTTTCTTTTGTTTCTAAGGCTTTTTAGGTGCCTATTCAGGTCGTTCGCACGAGCGCCGCAAAGCGGCGCCGTGTGTGTGTGTGTGTCAACCCCTGTACCTAAGGGTTCCGACTCTTAACAGCGGCAGTCCAACGAAGAGGCTGGTTTGAGTCACTGATATGGATTCTGGATGCAGAATCCACGTACCTGCTGAACAACTGTTGACCACGCTGTCCAATTTGATCGGTTTGTTTCATGGTCCTTCCACGTTTCTCCCCCTAAACCCACTTTCCTGCAGCTGTGCTCGTCACCGCGTCGACTGTGCAGATCGATTTCGAGGCCACTTGGAAACAATGTTCAACCATACTGTTCTTGCTGACTCATGCGCCTTTTCGTTCCTTCACCTTCCTTCTCGACGTGGGAATTGAACTAACTGAAAACCAATGTCAGAGTGTGTGTCCCAACAGGCCTGTTGGTGTTTTTTTTGCATTCCATCGTTGCTTTGCTTTGTAGTGCTCTTTGTCTAGGACGGACGGGAAAAAAACCTCAACCTGAATCCAAATGCTGAAGAAACCAATCAAAGAATTAGTTTGGCCTCCTGGAATTGTGTGACGTCTGACAAAGTGAGGGTCCAGCAAAGTCTAGGGTTTCAGGAATCCGGTCAACTTCATGCCAAACTCTGGTTTCTTGATATACTCCAGAGAGGCGTCCATGTTCCTGTTCCATGTTGTTGAGTCACCGCGTCCCAGTCACCGGCGTCCGCAGTTATGAAGGACCCGCTCATGGGACCGGATGACCTCCACGCGTGCGCGTCCCGATCCTCCTCGTCCTCCTCTTCTTGCAGCCCTTGGTTCCAAAGAACACCCTCACTCTGGTCAAACGAACCCCGTACTGTAGCATTGTGTCTGGGACCTGTGAATGATTTGGAGGGTCAACCACTTCTTCAAACCAGCGGTCCGCGGTCACCGACTTGGACTGCGACGGGCTTTGCTGGACAGAAAGCTGCAGCACCGCAAGCAGCTGCTGTGGAAAACGTGTCAGTATTTTATGACCCCATATCACGTCAGATCCACCATCACTTTCTAATATTGTTCTTTTCCATGTTCCTTCTCCTTGTCACATGCCAAATCCAATTCATTGATTGTCCTTCTTGTGTTCTTTCCCGCGCGTGCTTTTGTCTTTCTCAACATGTGCTGCTCTGACTTTGTTGTTGAGACTCTTACTGTTCTTTTCCTCATTCCTTCTCCTCGCTTCTACCATTTTAGGCTCCTTTCCCTCTCCTACTCCTTTGTTTGTTTGTGGTTCTTCATGTTTGACCCTTGAAACTGTTCTAATGGTGTTAGTGACCTTGTGACTTTGATTGACTTTTTGTATTCTCAGAACTTTTGGCGTTCGCTTTTCAATCAATCACCACAAGTCCTTCGGTTTGTTAGCAGCTAGAAAAACTATAAGCGCCAAGTGGACCACCTCCTATCAATGACAGCGCGGGCGGCAGTAAATTATTGCTTTGGAACCAGTCACTCCCAATAGTACCAAATCGTACACATCTCCGATTACATGTTCAAACTTCACACAGTTTTGTCATCTTCTTCCGTGGTCTGGGTGTTGGGTTGGGCAAAGTTTCACAACATGATGGCCTTCGGATGGGGTCATCATCATCGCTGCGTCAGTTTTGTTGTGTTCTGTTCGGTTCTGTTGGTACTTTGGTGGCGTCTGTTATCATACGGTGGTGATCGGGGTTTGAAGTCTGACGGTAATATGCCTAGCCCTGCCTAGCACACTCTTTGTTTGAAACTAGAACCTGTTGAGTCTCCTCTGCCCTGTCCTAGCAGAACTTATATACTTCCCTTGAGACTTCCAACAGCCGACTCTAGACTGGCCGAATATGGAGGAACAACTCAACACAACACACGCAATCCCAGTAGAGTCAACATGAGCAAGTCCAAACACAACGCAAACAAAATAAACATGTTCCGTTCCAGAATCAAATCCTTCCAACTCTACCATTACGTTCCAAATGCTGACCATGCAACGCTGCTGCTCCTCTTCCTCCTTTGCACGCCTCAATGACAATTCCATGCGCGGGCTACTAGCACATGCTCTTCTTTCTCACTCTCTGCTTGCTCCTGTCACTCTCTC